TTTTTCTATATAAATTCCATTTAGGACTGGGGGGAGGGGGGCGCAGACTTTATTCGGGGGAGGGGGGGCATAGTCCGTCCCCCCCCAGAGGAGTAGCGGGGGGGGGGGGGGGGCGGGGGACATATGTCCCTGGGCGCCGACCTTAGGGGGGCGCCAAATTGAAAGTTTGAGGGGGGGTGCAATTGAAAAGTTCGAGGGGGGTGCAAATCGAAAGTTTGAGGGGAGGGGGTGCAAATGAAAAGTTCGAGGGGGGGGGGGGGGGGGGGTTGCAAATCGAAAGTTTGTCCCCGGGCGCCGGGAGGGGTCGCTACGCCTCTGCCCCCCCCCCCCCCCCCAAAGATGCCTGGAAGAAAACTACTATATCTTTGACTCTGCCTCCATCTGCATCTATATATGTATATATATATATATATATATATATATATATATATATATATATATATATATATATATATATATATATATATATATATGAAAGCATTTGTCCGTGATATCATTAGTCCTGATATATTTTGTCCTGGTATCTTTTGTCCTGAGATCATTTGTCCTGTCACCATATATATATATATATATATATATATATATATATATATATATATATATATATATATATATATATATATATATATATATATATATATATATATATATATATATATATATATATATATATATATATATATATATATATATATATATATATATACATGCGGGGGGGAGGTCTTTTTATCTAGTTCCGCCACTGTTCACAAATAGTTTTGTTCACCAAATCATTTAGCCCGGTTAACGAGCGATAAATACGTAAACAGCAGATGAAAACATGTTAAAGTTGACTGACGTTTTGGCTAATTGTTGTCGGTCTGTCGTCTGTCGCTCCAGTAGCCGACGCGACGTAGACGAACACATGTGGTGCTTCATTACGTGATTACATAATTAATCAACAGAAAATTGCCCATGGAAATATATCCACATAGTTTTCAGCTTTAATTTCGTAATTTTTTATAATATTTGTTTTTTACAGGCAACTGGGAGTTTTTACTTCTGGATGGGATACTTTTTTTCTACACGTTTCCGTTCTTTCTACCATTCTATAGAGTGCTAAGGCGAAGTACGAAATCTAATTTGTTTCAATTATTTGTCGGTCCATTTCAGACTATGCCTCAATTAACACGTATAATATTTAACTACAGGGTGTAAATATAATCTGGGAGATTGACAGGGCGCCATGTCCTAGCCCCTTACTTCTATACAATTGTTTCAACCTTTTTGAGTCACTAGCGTGGCATCTAGACGTCATTCTGTTTGCTCACATGGGTCACTAGGGTGGCATCTAGACGTCATTCTGTTTGCTCGCATGGGTCACTAGGGTGACATCTAGACGTCATTCTGTTTGCTCGCATGGGTCACTAGGGTGACATCTAGACGTCATTCTGTTTGCTCACATGGGTCACTAGGGTGGCATCTAGACGTCATTCTGTTTGCTCGCATGGGTCACTAGGGTGACATCTAGACGTCATTCTGTTTGCTCGCATGGGTCACTAGGGTGACATCTAGACGTCATTCTGTTTGCTCACATGGGTCACTAGGGTGACATCTAGACGTCATTCTGTTTGCTCGCATGGGTCACTAGGGTGACATCTAGACGTCATTCTGTTTGCTCGCATGGGTCACTAGGGTGACATCTAGACGTCATTCTGTTTGCTCGCATGGGTCACTAGGGTGGCATCTGGACGTCATTCTGTTTGCTCACATGGGTCACTAGGGTGGTGTCTAGACGTCATTCTGTTTGCTCGCATGGGTCACTAGAGTGGCATCTAGACGTCATTCTGTTTGCTCACATGGGTCACTAGGGTGGCATCTAGACGTCATTCTGTTTGCTCACATGGGTCACTAGGGTGGCATCTTATCTAGACGTCATTCTGTTTGCTCGCATGGGTCACTAGAGTGGCATCTAGACGTCATTCTGTTTGCTCACATGGGTCACTAGGGTGGCATCTAGACGTCATTCTGTTTGCTCACATGGGTCACTAGGGTGGCATCTTATCTAGACGTCATTCTGTTTGCTCGCATGGGTCACTAAGGTGGCATCTAGACGTCATTCTGTTTGCTCACATGGGTCACTAGCGTGGCATCTAGACGTCATTCTGTTTGCTCACATGGGTCACTAGGGTGGCATCTAGACGTCACTCTGTTTGCTCACATGGGTCACTAGAATGGCATCTAGACGTCATTCTGTTTGCTCACATGGGTCACTAGGGTGGCATCTAGACGTCATTCTGTTTGCTCACATGGGTCACTAGGGTGGCATCTAGACGTCATTCTGTTTGCTCGCATGGATCACTAGAATGGCATCTAGACGTCATTCTGTTTGCTCACATGGGTCACTAGAATGGCATCTAGACGTCATTCTGTTTGCTCACATGGGTCACTAGGGTGGCATCTAGACGTCATTCTGTTTGCTCACATGGGTCACTAGGGTGGCATCTAGACGTCATTCTGTTTGCTCGCATGGGTCACTAGGGTGGCATCTAGACGTCATTCTGTTTGCTCGCATGGGTCACTAGGGTGACATCTAGACGTCATTCTGTTTGCTCGCATGGGTCACTAGGGTGACATCTAGACGTCATTCTGTTTGCTCACATGGGTCACTAGGGTGACATCTAGACGTCATTCTGTTTGCTCGCATGGGTCACTAGGGTGACATCTAGACGTCATTCTGTTTGCTCGCATGGGTCACTAGGGTGACATCTAGACGTCATTCTGTTTGCTCGCATGGGTCACTAGGGTGGCATCTGGACGTCATTCTGTTTGCTCACATGGGTCACTAGGGTGGTGTCTAGACGTCATTCTGTTTGCTCGCATGGGTCACTAGAGTGGCATCTAGACGTCATTCTGTTTGCTCACATGGGTCACTAGGGTGGCATCTAGACGTCATTCTGTTTGCTCACATGGGTCACTAGGGTGGCATCTTATCTAGACGTCATTCTGTTTGCTCGCATGGGTCACTAAGGTGGCATCTAGACGTCATTCTGTTTGCTCACATGGGTCACTAGCGTGGCATCTAGACGTCATTCTGTTTGCTCACATGGGTCACTAGGGTGGCATCTAGACGTCACTCTGTTTGCTCACATGGGTCACTAGAATGGCATCTAGACGTCATTCTGTTTGCTCACATGGGTCACTAGGGTGGCATCTAGACGTCATTCTGTTTGCTCACATGGGTCACTAGGGTGGCATCTAGACGTCATTCTGTTTGCTCGCATGGGTCACTAGAGTGGCATCTAGACGTCATTCTGTTTGCTCGCATGGGTCACTAGGGTGGCATCTAGACGTCATTCTGTTTGCTCGCATGGGTCACTAGGGTGGCATCTTATCTAGACGTCAATCTGTTTGCTTGCATGAGTCACTAGGGTGACATCTAGACGTCATTCTGTTTGCTCACATGGGTCACTAGGGTGGCATCTAGACGTCATTCTGTTTGCTCGCATGGGTCACTAGGGTTTGCATCTAGACGTCATTCTGTTTGCTCACATGGGTCACTAGGGTTTGCATCTAGACGTCAACATTGTCAATACAGATATTTGTTGCCATTCAAGTGTATGTATAGACTCACATTATAGAACACACAACTCCGGTCAAATGCTTTTCGTTAGAACAACTGTAGAGTTCTGTATTTAGACACAATTACTGTGACCTAATGCAATGATTAGCCATGTTAAATAACTTGAATGCATACTATTAATTCAGATTACAGCCACTTACCTTCACCCCGTGGCATTAAGTAATTAATTATGTAGGAAGTACAAAGCCAGTGATATTGTGGACAGCTACTGCTAGCTCAGAAAATGATTGGTACCTGACATAAGTCATGGAAAGTGTAGATTGATAGTCCTGGTAATAGTCCCATTCTTTCTATACATAATAAGGTTAAATCAAATTGGCTATGTTTTACATGTCCCATATTTTATGTATAAAGCTGTATCTTACTAAAAGTTTCAATAAATTAAATTGCTTAATTCATTTTATTTTTAAAATGACATAACTACAATATGCTATTGTTTGTTTGTTTTTATTTCAAAAACTCTGTTTTGGTTTAACCAAGTTTAACAAGTACTGGTAACAAAAGGGCAAAAATTGGATGAAATAAGCTTTAACAAGTAGGTCTACACCATTCAAAAAATCCATAGATTTACAACACCTTAGAATCAACTTACAACACTTAACGCACTACACATCATTTTGAACTGTAACTTTCTACTATTACAACATTCAAGCACTACAAATCAGTCTTTACTATAACACTTTCTACAATCTTTGGTAAAGAAAAAAAAAGTAAAAAAGTTACATTCCATTCATCCATCAAAAGGGCCTGTACCAAAAAAAATGTCTATAAATGTTTACTGCTAATATCAACATATAATATTACAGCTGTTACACTGATACAATCTAGTATTTAAGTTCACTACGTTGATTACTCATAGCAGCTAATTAACTCATTAGGATTTCTAAGTAATTATCCTCTTGCAAAAATAGCAACAAATTAGCTTAATGCTTTTAGTAACTATTCAGCTATCGCACAGAGAAACAATGCCACAAATGCACATGTTTAACAAAGTATACAGCAAGACTGAACAGTTGTTTTCTACATACATTCATACAGTGAAGAAACAGAACGTTCAGTCAGTCATACATGTCACTATGAACTAGCACCACTGATCCATGGTGTTGCTTTTGATGGTAAAGGAAAAAAACATCCCCATTTCCTGGGTAGGAAAATGTTTGAGGAAGCATACAGGACTGTGTGCAAGTGACTTTACTTATAGGGACACAATATATATAAATAAGACAATGTTTTGGTGACACAATATTGGTGTGATACAGTAGTATATAGTTCTAATTATTGTTATCACATCTAACTAGAACCTGATTTTTTTTAGAAGCATCTCATGTATATCACACTAATGTTTTCTTGGTGAAGGTTGTGAAAAAAATCAATTAAAAATTTAATTCTTGATTGAAAAAAAAATCATAGTTTTGATAGTATTCATTTCACATACAGTATGCATAAAGCAATGTATAATTGTTGGTACATTTTACATCTTGCAATGGTGTAAAATACATCCAAATAATTGCAAATGGAAATATTAAATATTTTGTTTTGGTTTAAATTTTCATACATAATTACAATTGAGAAAAACTAAATATAATTTTAACACTGATCCATAAAAATTAAAATATAACTCCAAAACCAAAAATCTATAACTGTCAATCTTTTCCTTCAAATATCACATGACACTTGGGATGAGTTTACATTTTAAAACTTTATTTTCCTTTAAAATAATTTATTTCTTAATGTCTCCTTCTAAATAGTTGTACTCGGAGAGTCTGACTCTACCACCTGGCCCTGGTAAATTTTTAGGCTTGGCTTTTGTCTTGCTGAGTTCTTTAGACAACTTTTCAAACATAAATTTGGCAAGGCGTAAAATGATTGCATGGATGGAGTATTGCAGGACCAGAGCACCGAAGCCACGGTACAAGCCATGTAAGCCTTCCTCAGCCACAATAGACCTGAAGCAGTCGATGAAACCATCATAGCGTGTGTTGATAGGCACAACACCCAAACCATTGTCAGTGTTGTCAATGATAGTCCTGGTTCCCTGACAAAAATAATTAGTGCATTAACAAAGTGGTACCAAGAAAATTAATTTTTTTTTTGTAAAATGTGTGATATGTGAGCTGATATATGATATTTGTCTAACTTTTCCAACACACAAATGTGTAAAAATCTCAACTACTACCTGCACATACAGCCGGTGTAGCACTGTCTCTAAAGGGTAAGTGATCATGTCAGCCAATAAGCCACCAGTAAATGTTGCTAGGAGCTCTGGAAAATAAGTCTCATAAGCTGTCGGCTCTCTTCCATTTCCACCTGGCAATTCCTGTATAAAAAATATAGATAAAACGCTACAACTGTTAATGATATAAATGAAAACTATTAACAGCAGAGGATAAGCTTAAAAACTGGTTTATTGGATGGCACTAAAATGTGATACCTAACACAACAGTATGGGAAAAGACAGGACAAATCTTAGTGGAACAAGAAAAATGGAGAAGTCATACGCTGTAGAAACCAGCAAAATGCATTAAAAAACATGACATTTTATGGAACACACAAAGGATAAAAAAAACACCAGGCATAGAGAAATAGGAAAAGACGTTTGTCATTAAAAAGAGGTGGGAGTAAGGTAAGTTTTGCTAGTTACTTAATCAAAGCATGTTGTGTTGCAAGACAAATTAGTGCTAGATATTCTGTATCTCTTGCTAATGTTTCCTGTACTATTAAGCTTTTAACTTCTTGGCCACATCGCATTTCTCACTTCCCCAATCCTAAGTAAAGGGACATTACTCTTTAAAATATAACGGTACATAGATATAGGGTGTCTTTTTTTAAATTAACAATTTTTAAAAATTTCAATAACAAAAATTTACATTTTTGAAAACAAAAGTAAAATGGACAACACATTTAATAAAATATAAATTGCATTCTCTATTGCATTCAGTTGAATAAAAATTAATTCATAACCCTTGGAATGGCAAATGCATTTTGGCGTAATGGACATAGCAAAGCAAAACACTACTATTAGTATTATTAGAGTTTCTCACCTTTAGGAGTAACCACACAACTGCATCTTACATTAATATTTATTAAATTATATATTATTATAACAACTATTATTTATTTTCATCTAAATTCAACATGTCCCCATTATAGCTTAGTCCAAATTCATCCTTAAACTAACACCAAAGTCTATTGACTAAGGCAAAATTATGAATTTTAAAAAAAAATCTCTTATATATTAACAAGGCAATTTTGAATGCTAAAAATACAGAAAGGAAGTTTGTTTTCCGTTTCTCTTAACCGGACATTTTTTATTGTACTAAATAGCTATTTAAAAAAATTAGAATCAGCTGCGCAACAACACAATATAAAAACTGGCCATCATGAGTATATTGGTTATATAGAAAAATGAACAAAAACAGATATAGTGACCTCATCTCCTGCCTGTGCTACTAGTTTAGTAAAATCAAACAAATAGATTACCCTCATCTCTTGTTGCTCTAAATGCATGGCAGATGTGACAGTGAACTGGGCGATGGAGTTGACTATGTAGTGTGACAACCTGAACACCATGGTGGGCAGCGCCAGGTGCCAGACCGCCACCTGCCGTGATGTCTTGGGTGCCCCCCATGCCCCAACCCTGGCAGCAGCTTCCACCAGAACATCAAACACACCTGGTTTCTCACTAGCAATATCGCTCTGTAAAAATAAAACAGTTAGACCAGTTCAACTACTCAGTATAAGTGATAATGAAAACAAAGGGAAAACAGGTAAAAATGTCTCAGTTACAGAACAGAACATTAACACAAAAAACTCATTAAGAGCAGATCACACTAACCTGTATTGTTTCTACTAAACTGGCAGCATAAAAGGGTGTTGTGACAGCAAAAATCAAACTGTAATAAAGACAGGTTACATAATTACAAAAAATATAAATAACAATATGTTGCACTTTCATTTGTTAATTTTCTTTGATATAAGAACAGTTTGCACATTTAAAAAACTGCTACTCATTAATGGACAGATCCTTTATTAACTCTTAACAAGGATTCAACTTAGATCTTATGTTTTGTTAAGCTAAACAAATTATGTAAAATACTCTTAATTGTAAATATCATAACTAGTTAACATTACACATACCCTTTCAATAAAATGTGTCCGCCTAACTTTTTAATAGAACTATGTCTAGAAGCCTCTCTGAAAAAAATAAATAGAATGTATTAACACATGCAATCATAGTTTTAAGAAAGTAAAATTTAAAAGACCTCAAATGAAATTAGCTGATATAAGTCTTTAAGTACATAATTATCTATGGATTTAATTAATTTTGTTAACACTATAACTGCCTACAATTTACACAAAGGTTGAATCTCTACAATGTAATTTAAATCAATGAATATTCATGGGTAGACATAAGTAATTATGAAATTAAGATGCTAACATACTGTGGTTCTTTTAAAGACAAACCACATCCACGAGTTTTGTTGTATATTTTCAAGTTATCCATTTTATAATAGACATTACAAGATATTTGCACATCTTCGATTATTGAAATCACACAGATCTTTTTACTTCCACTTTCAGATAACTATGCTGACTGCCATAAATGTACCTTGGCAGAGTTGTCACTTCACTAATCACAGTCTCAGAAACCATACTGATGCCTCGAACTATATACACACTGCCTAGTCCTTTCCATAGCACCACGCCGCCCTGAAACAGTACGCACATTTTTCTTTACACAGTTACTGAGTTGAAAAAAATGCTAAGCACCATAATATTGTTTTTTTTAATTCACCTGTGTCCTTTGGATATTTATGATGGTTTGAAGTAGTGATATAGGGGTTAGATGATACCAAAATCCCGCATGATGCACCTGTAATTGAGGAAACAAAAGTATATAGATATTACATAATGTGAAATACCAACAAACATGAGAAAAGATTAGTTAAAAAGATTCTTACTTGGCATTGTCTTCTCATAACAATACATGGATGGGATAGGAGTTGTTCAGCAAAAAGACTGTAGAAAAATTAAATTTTAGAAAAGAATTTCACTAAATGGAGTTTTTACCACTGTGAGAATATTGAAAAAATGTACTATAACAATATAATTATTATTTAACAACTAACTGTTACAAATTACGCTAACTACACACCAAAAAAAAAAAAACAAGTATGAAAACAATTGATAATTTTATCCAAATCATATTGTGCAAGGTCTTTAGTTTATTTGTCACGTACAAGTCTAAGAGCTATAATGAACATACCTACAGAATCCTATACTTAAGCCAGCCATTTTCTGAACTTGGTCTGCACAGTAAAAAAAAATAAACTTATTTAATCTAAATTTTTATAAGTGTAAAACTCATGCGGCACCCTATGACATATAGATATGATCTACTAATTATTTCTACTAAGACATAATTATTATAATGTAAAACATAAACTGATGAAGTGGTAAAATATGAGACAACACCAGTGGAATTTTGCATAAATAGAGACAATTTACAAGTCATTTTTTTATGCTTGTCTTTGTTTTTATTGGTGAGGAATAAGTTTACCCTGCTAATTTTATGATCTTAAAAAATTAGGCAAAGCATCATTTTAGTAATCGACATGATAAACTATTTTTAAAAGTGTAGTTAAATTTGTTCATTCTGTATGTGAATTCTAATCTTCACTATGCATTTATTTGTAAACTGGAGAAAAGGACAGAAATAGTGGATTAAACAGTGGATAAAAACTGCATTTTTTTCACAAAACATTATATATTAACTTTTTGTCTAAAGACAATATTGCCAGAAAAAAATTCCAAACCCAAGGTCAGCCTATACAGATCCTTCATCACTTTTGTAAAAAAAAATTGCTTAGCAACTACTTGGCATGTATATGTTTTTGAACTGAATAAAAAATAATACAGGAAGAATATATTCTGACAGTCCTTCAAGTTTTTGGACAATCCATAACTTGTATTTCAAATTTATAATGAGCGGGATGCACTCGATGTTTTAAGTGCTACATTTGGTAGCTGTTACTTTGTGCATGACAGCATCCCAATAGTTGACTGTAAATATAAACTAAGCTTGACGAGATTCCCGTCGCCAAGCAATCGTATGATAGACCCAGCAAGCATCACTCGTTAAATTCGACCTTATTGCTATACCAGTCCTTGATTTTCATTACAGCCTTTAAACGCCTAGTTGTTGGTTTTAAAAAAAAAGTGCCCCCCCCCCCCTCCCCGCTTGCGCCGACGTCATCATAGGCCAATACCATGTTGCTATTTTTTTTTAACGGATATAACACACACCCCTCTGTCCCTCACAGCAAACGCCAACAACGTCACCGAAGGCCCAAGGCCAATAACACGCACCACGGTGGATTTTTTCTTCAATGAGTATATACCCTACCCACCCGCCGCCTTACAGCATACCTCATGTCTCTACGAACGGGGTTAAAAGTTTAACTTTGAGTTCAAGAAGGGGAGAGGGTGGTATTGAAACAATGAAGCTGTTTCTTTATAGTACAAATACATAGTTAAAAAATTATACTTACCGTAACTTACCTACTGCTATAGCATCATACATAATTTTATAAATTAGCAAATTAATTAATTAATTAAATAATTAAATATATCTAGCCTAATGATAATGAAGGGTTAAGGCACGACACACAACACTGTGCGTGCCTGGTATGTGGCCTGACCGACCGAAAGGAGATTGTTTATATTAGGCCTATTGTTTTGAGTTTATATTTAACTCAATGCAACAAGCCCGCCGGTTGGTTGAGGCCACGACGGGGGGACGTTCTGACCGGGATTCAAAGGGACGACTCGAAATATCATCCTTAACTTTTAACAACAGTGGTTCCTATATAAACAGCAGCCATTTTTGTAAAATAGAGCTGCCTTCCCCTGAATCTCGCGCTATATAAGTTAACAAAGAAAGAACTTAAACAAGATGGCTGCTATAGTAAATGAGCATGGTTGCATCTGTTGGAAACATTGCTAGTCTTCATTTATTATTGAAAAGTGTTAGGCCTATTTTTTTTTCAATTCAATTGTTTGAAAACAGGTAGGGCCTACATTAGGCCGTTCGGTTCAACACTTCCGGGTTTGTCATTTTCGTGGCATCTCACGGCTCATGCGCTTAATAAAAATGGCGACCAGTTTCGCTTTCACTAAACGGTAGAGGGATAAAACTAATAATTACGAGGCCATCGTTAATTTTAGACATCGGAACTATCCGTTTATATTTCAGTCTGTTATTTAAGAATTCCCAGATGTACTTTTGACCTAATTTCTTTGTTTGTCTCGCAAGCGACGCGTTAGTGAAAATAGCTCTATGAATTCTTGTCTTTTATATCAAATAACTCTTACATATCGCTTCCAGATGCAAACCAGCTTATGTCAGATGTAAACTTTAAAGTATTAATTTTACACACATTACCATTAACTGGTAATAATTTGGTGTGTTAATGAGATATGTGCGTGGGAAAATGATCACCCCCCCAATAATGCCATTTTATTATAATCTTGCTTAGTGAAAACGAGGCGCGGGAAAATGTGTGCTGCGCAAGAATCCAATCATTTGGCTAGATTTATGACTGTTTTTTTATGTCACACCTAAAAATAGAATGTTTACGCTTTCTTCATTGATGATCGTTTTTATAACTGAAAGTATGGATTATTAGTTAGATTGCAGGTTTTGTAACTTGGTATACTTACCATTTATCAATTTTAAAAGCATAGCATCCTGATTGTGTACAAATATACTAATATACTAGACCTAGAATCTAGTGGTGATGAAGTGATGTAACTTTACCTGGCCCAGTTTGTCGCGGTACGGTATTCTGCGCATCCTGAAAAAGATTCTCGACATCTTTATCGTGCCTTATAGAGATAGGGTTTTCGTCTCCATCTCTTTTCGATAAGGAATCGTACGAGAATTCGTTCATCACACGGGTTCCCATTAATGGGACAATCTAGCAAATGTTGACCTTAAGTGACCAGGGCCGACTTTGTTTTCATTTTCCCGGAAGCTTATTTTTGAGTTTCAAATACTAAAGAGCTTTTTTTCGACTTTTAATTTTCGGATTTTGGATCTACATTAAAAATTATAGATCCATGTAAACAAATGGCAAACTAAACAAATATTTACATGTGCATAAACGACGTCACACTCCAAGATCTAGGAGTGGAGGTTTGGACTTTTTGAAATTGTGTGACAAGGGAATAACAATGTGTATTTAGATCTATGTGAAATCACATTTGGTGATTTGTGTTTTAATTATTTTTTAAAATAAATCTTGTCTTTTCATATCTTTTAGATAGCCTAATTTTGTTTTGTATATTATATTCTATTTTGAAAATTGATTGATAAATCTAATATTATGTCCGATTTTCTAAATTTCTTAGACTTTTAACGATGCTTAGCGATCCAATCAATTTTTCTATTATCGGCAGTCATTTTATCATGCAAGGGGAAACTACTCAATTAATACTTTTACCAAAATCAACTTAGCTTGGTCATTTCCCTTTACGAAAATAATGACATTTCCTATGAATTTGTGTCTAACAGCTAAAACAAAATCATTTAAGGGAGAGAGGTATCTTACTTTTTTGGAGATTAAAAATTTGCTAGAACCAAAAGCCTGATGTTATTTATTTCAGTTCAAGTATATTTTGTTTGCTCACGCAATAAAATAAAAGTTGTGGAGTTGATTGTACATGCGTTAACTTCTTTTAAAGCTATTTAATTTTCTGCTAAACAACGAGTAACATATTCTATCAGTAGATTTCGTCAAATATAACAAAGAAAGAATATTTTCCATTTATTGTTGGCTTTGTGACTTACTGTCACTTTTATTTTGACAAGATTCACCAACATACGTCAGGTTGTTTGTTTGTTGTTGTTGTTTTTTTTTTTTTTTTTTTTTTTTTTTTTTTTTTTTTTTTTTTTTTGCTGCCTTCATCCACAACGAACTATGGCAGCAAAAACAAATTGTCAGTAGGAATAGTATTGAATACAGGCATAGCTATTAGTTATATTCGGACTCACATCCAAATGACGCACTCGAGCCTGATCAGCTCTAAACGATACCTGACTCAAATCATGGATCACGTTAAGTTCAGTGGACGGGGCATCGAATAGGCCACAAAAACCTTGCATGCTCTCTATTTCTTATGTAATGTGGTCATTCCAAAAAGTAATTTTACAATTTAGGCTAAATAGTTTGCTACAAAATCTATAAATTGTTTAAATGCATTAATTCACTTTCATTAATTGCAGTGTAATGACACTGCGAAAGGCTCACACAAATGTGACACGCCTGGCGCTTGAGTTGAACCCCCAGGGAAAGCGGAAGAGAGGGCGCCCAAGACAGACCTGGAGGCGGAGTCTTCTCGAAGAAATTGAAGCCAACGGGGATATCTTGGGAGATTGCAAAATTAATAGCCGGGGACCGGACGAAATGGAAAGAAATGGCGGAGGCCCTATGTTCCATAAGCAGCCAAGAGGACTAAGTCAAGAAAGTCTAGTATGTTTAATTTTATTTTATTTTTATACGTTAAAATTACAGTAAAAATAATTATTAATACATAAAATTTTAATCATGATACTGACTAATAATTTCCTCCTTTACTAGGCAAGTTTATTTATAATGGAGTTGGCATCCGACATCATTAAGTAGAGTATGCTTTGAAGTATTCCGCTGCCATTCTCTCAGTGGCTTTCCGTGAAACTTTTCCAGTAGAAAGTAATGGAAAACTCTCCATGAAGACAAACTTCTCAGGCACCCCGTCAAACTTTGTGGCCCCCTCCAGGAAAATTCCCTGGCAGAAATTCTTCAGGTCTGCTAGGGTCAATGTCGCGTCTTTCTCTTTGATGACACAAACACATATCTCCTGAATTGTCACTGGATGGGGCAGCCCTGTAATTTAGTAAGTATTTATCTGTATACACTTTCAATTCAATGTCAATGATACAATAAAATTTGAGACATTTTCCTACCACAAAACGAAAAGAACATGCATGGCAGCTAACTGCTGCTAACATAACTTGCATGCTATCATACTTCTAACGTACCGTGTATGTATGTTATTTTGCTGCTAACACGGTGTTCTGCTACTAACATAACGTGCATATATGCTGTCCTGCTACTAACATAATGTGCTTATATGCTATCCTGCTACAATATTACGTTTATATATGCTATCCTACTACTAAAATACAGTGCATTTGTGCTATTTTGCTGAGAACATAACGTGCAAATATGCTATCCTGTTACTGCTAACATCAACAAAATAGCATACATCAAAAAGTCCAAAAGTAAAATAAAATTATTGGATTAAAAAAACTCAAAGTATGCTACTATGATTTCAAACAACCTACATGTCAAGAAACATAATGTAAATATTTGTAAAATAGTCCAAATCTACCGAAATGGGTGTAATAGTCATTGGCAGATTAAAGAACATAGCCGTATCCATGTAAAATAGACCTTCGTATATAATATTCACAGGGAGCCAGTACATCGACTACTTCACCCAGTAGCCCCCCCCCCCCCAAGCCTTACTTCTAGAGGTCTTAAAAGTATTATGACATTGCTAGATTCTTCCTTTATATCATCCATTTTATCTCTTAAAACTATGTCTTAAAGTGTATACCCTGTTATATCTTCAGTATTGCCATCGACCTAACTATTTACCTACGACCATAACAGACTGAATCCCTGGACACATCTGTATTCGCTCCTCCATCCACTGCGGGTACAAGAGATACGCTCCAATTGTAATCATGTCTGCTTGACGCCCAATGATGTGGACGCCTCCATCTTCGCTTTAAATCAACAACAAATTTAGTTATTACTGTAAAAATGGCAATATATTAACCAAGTATTACTACAGCCCAGATACCAGAAGCGCTAGATGACAGAAGTGCTTGATGCCGAAAGATCTAAATGTCAGGAGTACTAGTTGTCAGAAGATCTAGATAACAAAAGTGAATGATGCCGAAAGATCTAGATGTCAGAAGTGTTAATAAATGCCAGAAGATCTAGATAACAGAAGTGCCATAAATGCCCTGCGTGCTATTAGTGCTATTTATGAGGTTTAGGCGCTGTAGACCTAGACGTTGGAAGTATGTTTAAAAGTCTGTAGGGTTAGATACCAGAGATTTAGATGTTAGTAGTTCTTAATACTAGTAGCTCTAAATGTTAGTAGCTTTTGATGCCAGAAGTGCTAGATGTCAAAAGTGCTAGATTTCAGAAGTGCTAGATGCCAGAAGTTCTAGATGTCAGAAGAGATCGATGCCATATGAGCTAGATGTCAGTTGTTTTAGATATCAGTAGCTCTAAGTGTTAGTAGCTTTAGATGCCACAAGATGCCAGAAGTTCTAGATGTCAGAAGAGATCGATGCCATATGAGCTAGATGTCAGTTGTTTTAGATATCAGTAGCTCTAAATGCCATTTGAGATGGACAAGTTCCATCAGCTTTAGACGCCAGTAGGTCTAGATTCTACCAGCACTGTATCCAGGCAGCGCAAGACGCCAAACATAATAATTTATTTCACAAATCTGAAATACAAATTACACCTTGTTATAAAGTACATTTATTACCTCTAATAAAATACACTTACTCCAAGTAGCCAGTATCTTTAGTGTCCAACCATCCGTCTAGCATGAATGTCATAGTTGTTGTGTCTTCAACGTTTAAATAACGCCTTAAAACTGTCTTCCCTGGTAACAATACAACAAGTGATTTATTTGGCTTCAATGGATGTTTCAGCAACGTTAGTTATAAATTTGGTCTAGCATATATGTTTATACTATTTTAACACACACAAAAAGGAAGATATATATTCTATTACTTTCAACTAAAGCAGTAGTGTTGCTAAAGACAAAACTAATTCACCTAATTATTTTTTTTAATAATGTAAAAGCTTTAATCGTAATAAACCTTTAAAGTGTATCATCCCAATACGTTTCGGCTCTGTAAAAATCTCTTTGGTTTTTGCATCCACCAATCTTAATTGTAAGCCTGGGCAGATAGTGTTCCCAGCATAGCAGTCTTTAAACGTGTCCTATGGTATAAAAAAATATTTGATCATAAACTCACTTCACATGGGCTACTATCAACAAACGAGTACCGAAAGCTAATATGAGCCTAATTGCTAAATAATCGTAATTATAGATGAATGGGAAAACAGCTGGTAATGCCTGAGTTTTGCACGAAAGCTTTAGCTGAGTCCAGTAGTGAAGTTATAAAAAAATGGTCAATGCACCTAAGCACGAAGAGCAGTCTGTAATATGATCTTATGATTGAAACCTTAAACAACAACTACAAAACACGATGAGCTAAATACCGTAACTAACAACACACTACAATCTCATTTTATTACCTTTTTGCCATACTGTGTACAGATTACAACTTTTTATGTGTATTGTATACACGCATAATCATTTAACATTCGTCATTTGAGTAATAAATAATAACATCTTATTACAAATAATGGAAAAATTAAAAATTCAACGAATAATTGAGAAAACTTATAAAATGCCAAGGTCGTACAACATTTCTAAAAAAGTGATGTAATGCTCAGATATTGCAACTTTCAAATTTTAAACTCAGCATGAATTGGTTATATGACAAAACACAAGTATCAGGTGTCTCGCAATCATCTTGCTTAATCCTTATAGCATTATATTGATGTAAATACCTTGTTCAGTTTATCTATCAGTCCATAGACCATCAACCCTACATCAGTGGAACCATAGGAAGTCATCATCCGCTCACACACTAGGCCGACAGCCTCCATGACATTCTGTCATGTAAAACACAAAAAGTAGGCTATGAATAGACCGGAATGACCAGGTTGGTTGAGATTTTTACACACCCACTCCTATAACTAAAAACATCCATCGACCTGAACTGCCATTTATTTTGTTTATAAAAAGCTATTTCTTTCTAGATCTATAAAGAAGCAAACGCAAAGCAAATCTAAAAATAAAATCTTAGCACCTTTTTGATTGGTTGAGCTCCAGTAAAAATTATCCCGATCGATTTCTTAAAAATACCGTCCTTGTAGAGCTGAGAAATGTTATTGAAAGTATTCAATTATCCAGTTACCATTATAACATTATATATATATATATATATATATATATATATATATATATATATATATATATATATATATATATAATTGGTTCGGCCAAAGTAACCCTCACCTCTTTGAGTTGCATGATATCAGCCACAAGTGTAAATGTAAAAGTAGCCCCGAGACGAAGCGCGACGTCCCAGACATCCACCACCCTCCTGAGAGTGACCCCATCATAAAGTTCCTGCACTAGGGTGGGAATCCCCTGGGACAAGAAATAATGGGGAAATCCTCCGATCCATCCAAATGGGCGATCACTGTACAAGACATCGTCTTTAGTAAAAATACTGCTGTAGTTTTCTGCTATGTCAAGACATTCTCTGAAGAAAAATCGTATGTTTCCAATTATCTTAAGAGACTAGGAGACGAGTATAAACTCTTTATAATGATAATAACAACGTTTCTTTTTTTTTTCAAATAAATCTTTAGTGTAACATAAATAAGGTGGTGAACAGGATGTAGTGGGGGATCTAAACAAATTATAAGGAGTTAATGAGATTTTTGTAAATGGTAAATTCCATTACAGAATGGAAACATTATAGTTCATACCTGTGTGTTCTCGGCACCATCTTAGAAAATCCGGTGCTGCCGGAAGTCAAGAAAATGTAAGCCTCGTCATCGGCCGTGACGGGGGCGACATAGAATTCTTCATCAGCTAGACGAGAGAGGAAAGCTGTGTGGTCTTCGTGGCTGTTTAACTTGTACACGATCAGCTGTTTCAACCACGGGGCCTGGCTACACTGTACTGGGATGATTGTTTCTACACTGTATGATATGGGTTGGCGTTTTCAGCTTGAATATAACTCAACAAATTGACAATAGCCACTATTATTTTAAGAATTATTTTATGCTGCATGAAAACGCTGTAACGTAACTTACATACTTACTTCCCGCCTGCGACCAAATCACTGCTGGAGGTGAAATATTTTTCAAATATCTTAAATGTTGGGTTCCCTGCTGATGTGATGACCGTGGAGCACTTCGAATGTCTCAAGGTCGAAAATAGATCTTGACCGTCTGACAAAACTGGCTTTTTTATTTAATTTAGTTAGATTTACAATATTTACCTAAGATATTGAAAAGCTGCAAATTAAAGTAGATCTATTCTTTCAGCTTAAATCACTTATTAGATTGTTTTCTTAATATTCACAAAACAAGTTTGTTTTCTTTAGCATATAACACAGATGCATAAAGTATTATTTAATGCAAAATATTGTTTAGGCCTCGTTATGTAACTGGTAACTTACCAAAGCATTCAAGACGACCCCACCAGCCATCACTATGGCCATGTCTGTTAGTATTCGCGTCCGTGAGTTGCTGAGTGCTGAACAAACCACATCACCTTGCTGATGGAATAAAATTATTAAAACAAACGGGGGTAGAGCAAACGAAATTTCTCTACAAACTTTTATAAAGTTACCTTAACCCCATTGCGCTTAAGGCGAGAAGCGTAACTTCTGCTCAGATCGAAAAGCTGTTGCCTTGACAACTGCAGACTCTCATTCTTCACGCCGATAAAAGTGTAACACTTGTCTTGAGGATTTTCTTCAGCAAGACGCTGAAGACGATGGTTAATGGTACCCAGGAATGGCATCGTGTCCTGCTATTTTGATTTAAACAAAGACACTCAGAAAAAAAATACGCAAAACAGAACACGGTTACAGGGAAAATGGAGTACTAATAAGAACTTGAATATAATAGTAGTGTTGCAGAAAGTCATACAGACATTGAACTCATTAGCTACGCTCTTATATACCGAGTTTGTAGGTTAATAATGAAACATTAGTTGCCAAATTGGTTATATACTTCATTTTAATCAAGCTCTAAGTCTTATTAGCAATCTCAACTAATTGTACAATTATGTACAATTGTAATAAAAACTTAAAAATCATATTAGACCTAAGAAGACCTACCTTCAATTTTTTGAGCAGGATTATCGTTCCTGATGAGTTGCAGGTATGTGCCTAACTGATACTTAATCACAGTGGATGAGAAACTTATAGAACACGTGACAGAAACCTCGGGAAAATAACGAGCAGTAAAATGTATCCGATTACACGTGAACTTATTGTATGGATTATCTTGTAATATTGTAGTCTTATTAATTAGTTTAATAGGCGTTATATATATATATATATATATATATATATATATATATATATATATATATATATATATATATATATATATATATATAACGAGTGTGTGGGTGAGATACGTATCACTGTACATATAGATATGAATAAATGTATATATATATATATATATATATATATATATATATATATATATATATATATATATATATATATATATAAATATATATATATATATAAATATATATATATATAAATATATATATAGAGAGAGAGAGAGATAGAGAGTGTGTGGTTGAGAGAATGTGTGGTTGAGATACGTATATATATATATATATATATATATAAAGAGAGAGAGACAGATAGATAGACATAGATATATAATACACTACGTACTATCTCTCCATACCAAAACGAAGATAGACTTTTTTGCTAGACATTTTTACAAGGGTACAGTGTATAGTTCAGCTTCGACGTGTGTCTATTCTATTCCCAGATTGATAACCATGAAACATTTCATCTGATCTGATAGCATAGCAATTAGATCAGAACCAGAAGGGACTGAAATGATAACTATTTGCTTCCTAATCCACAACTCAGTAAATGAGCAAATATAGTTGCATAATCGGCGAAAGCTTTGTTTCAAATTAATTAGTTATTCATGAGATTAGCTTAGATCTGAAATGGAATAATTTATCATTCGAATGGTAAAAATATGCGGTCTAAAACAAGGGAGATAAATATAGAAACCTTTAAATATTGTTAGTCACTGTAAGCAACGAAAAGCTATTGATACGGAATGCGTTCAATCTAACTTTACTTTAAAAAGTAAGACAACTCATTGAATTCACACCACGCCTTAGATAAACACAATGTCATTTATACATTCATTGGTACAGTCGATGTCACAGATAAAAAACAATGTCACATTACTAGCTTACTTGTGTACAGGTACACAAAATGTCAAAGGTCCACACAATATCACAGGTTAACCAAATGACACATATACACATAGTGTCACAACCTGTACACAATGTCGCAAGTGCACACCGTGTTACGGGTGTACAAAATGTTACAAGTAATCACGTTGTCACAGTTACACACACTGGCACGTGTACGGCCATTATAACAGGTGTTAACATTGTCTAGCGTGTACACAATGCTATAGGTACATACAATATTACCGGTATTTACAGTGACATAAACAAAAACAATATCATATTTACACACAATTCCAAGATATAACTGAAGTTACAATACATAAGAAGTAACAAGTATACAATATCGCAGTTGCAACTTTACAGCTATAAACTATTTTACGCGAAAATTCAGTTTCACAGATCCAGACAATGTTGCATATACATACAGTTTCACAGGTAAATATAAAGTTGCAGGTAGTCAGGTACACAATGTCACAGGATCAGAGCGAGAGTTAATTCATGGTCTGGCGAAATTTTCCAAGAGTACGGAAATCGTCCATAAATGACGTCACTTAGGCTCGTGGAAGGTATTAATTTTTTTTTCACAACGTTATGGGGTGCAGTTTCGCTCACATTTACCTTAATTTGGACAAAGGGTGAAGGGGGGGGGGTCTGCTTCCTTTATCCACGTGTGGCGTGACAAGAAAGGTGAACGTGGGCAGTGTTTCTTCCAGACTTTTTTCTCCGGGGGGGGGGGGGGGGCGGACACTGTCAAAAGTATATATTCTCTATATAAATTCCATTTCGTTCGGGGGGGGGGGGGGGGGGCGGTAGACTTTCTTCCTTTCTTCGGGGGGGGGGGGGTGCCTGGAAGAAACTCTGAGCGTGAGTCGGGCACAAACATTTTAAAATAGCTTGACCTTTTTTGGACTTATATGGAATGAAAAGATGTGCGTATGGTTAGCCAGGACGAATGTCAGTTGCTTCTAGCCATCACCACTCAAGACTGAAAGTCACATCACTTCAGACGTAGAATAAACAGACGACAAGTGTATAACTTAGGTTTTTACTTAACTGACGTAATCAAACAGATGACCCCTTAAAGCTGAAGTAGGGACATGTAGATTAGAACCCACTTAAACAGAGACAAAGTGGGTTTTGTTATGAGCTCGTCACGTAGCTATCAATGTTTATGTCATTGGTCACTTTATGGGACGGCGTGCTTGGATGGAAGAGTGCGCAAGACTGCTAAACAGACAGTCTCGAGTTCGGATCCCGGACTTTTCCATTTGATAAATTAGAGGCGGCTGGGTATAGTGTCGACCACACTATTTATTCATATGCCAATGTTGCCGAAACTCTACTTCACCTGCCACATGGACCGCTAGGTTTGAAAGGGCTGTTTCATTCGTCGAGCATGGGAATAAAATCTGGCTCAATTACGCAAGAGGTAGGGTGAGATATTTGGGACGGTTGATATGAGATGCTTGAGGGGGGGGGGGGGTGACGGGGGTTTGAAATGAGAGCCCTTTCTTCCTGTTACACGCCTCACTTACTAAACCTGCTCATACATTCTACTCACGCGAGTTAGTAAAGTCCCATTGTTCAGGACAAACAATAGCCGGTACTGTGACACACACAACACGAGTGTTTACAGATGGCAGACACGTAGGTTCTTGTCTCGACCGCTTAAGGTCGGCTTAGTAGGTCGTGTTGGAAACACATTTTTATCATTCAAGTTAAAAGTTTCATGTGTTAAATGTGTATCTTATAATACAGAACTTTTAAAAACCACATAGAACAATGGTCTACAGTGAATTTAATTTTTTAAATAATAGGATAGTTTTTCTTCCAGGTATCTCTTCGCCCCCCCCCCCCCTAAAGAAAGTCTACCCCCCCCCCCCCCCCGAAAATATCACCGGAGAAAAAAGTCTGGAAGAAACAATGCTATCAAAACCATCAGGTCTTTGTATTAGTGTATAAAAGAATGTCACACAATGTTACCTGTATATCATAAAACACGTGTTTATTAGGTGAAAAATATATTTTAAAAGAATTTTACGCAGTTGAAAAAGCATTGTTACACTGCTAAATGTCATATTAGCTTTTGAGATTTATGAATGAAAGACAATTGATGTCCTATCTATGTCAGACAAACTATGTATGAAAATGGTTCAGTCAATGTAAAACAGCATGTTTCTTTTTTTATCTTTTTTAAGGAGCTTGTCCAATCTATGCACGAAAATAGTATGTCTGTGTATAGCAATGATCCTAGCTATGGCTGCTGACCAAAACGGTGCTTTTTATTTATGTCATGCTATTTAACCATCTATGTAACATAATGTCTCGTCTATGTAAGTCATACGTCTGTGTGTTGAGCATTTCACTGGTAAAACACTGTGAGAGTGAAATGTATTGAAATGTATGTGAAGTCTTACTGCAAAAAAGCTGGGCATTCAAGCAAGGAACGTATCCAGGAAACACTCAATGAAATATTGGAATAAACATTGAATTAAATTTAAATAAACGTTTAATAAAATATAAGCAACACATTGTTACAAATTATTTACAAATAGTGCACAATATCCAACACGAATGTGTAACAATCGATTGATTTCCTCTCATGTGGTTATCCATTTTTTTGTGTCACTGTTAAATGTAAGTCGGGATGTCTGTGTGGAAGACAGAGGTATTGTAGTTAATATGAAGGGTTTTATTCATAGTTATACGTGGTAAGCTGTAGGTAAATAATGTACTGATGAATTTTGGTTGATGCGTGCACAATACATTGACAAGCTCCACATTAGAGGATTAAACTTCAGGTAGAGAAAAGAGCGGTACAAAATAGAGGTAAAGAGGCATGTGTTTCACCGGATAGGCAAAGGTTCTAATAAAGATTGGACTAGAAGAGAGAACTAGCCTTATTTAGTTGAAGGAAGAGTGACTTAGACGGGACTAACACCTCCACCAAAGATGTCTTCAGTTGTTGTTGGTGTCGTTGTTGTTGGTGTTGTTGGTATTGGTGTCGTTGTTGGTGTCGTTGTTGGTGTTGTTGTTGGTGTCGTTGTTGGTTTCGTTGTTGGCGTCGTTGTTGGTGTAGTTTTTGGTGTCGTTGTTGGTGTCGTTGTTGGTGTCGTTGTTGTTGGTGATGTTGGTGTCGTTGTTGGTGTCGTTGTTGTTGGTGTCGTTGTTGGTGTCGTTGTTGGTGTCGTTGTTGGTGTCGTTGTTGTTGGTGTCGTTGTTGGTGTCGTTGTTGGTGTCGTTGTTGGTGTCGTTGTTGGTGTCGTTGTTGTTGGTGTCGTTGTTGGTGTCGTTGTTGGTGTCGTTGTTGTTGGTGTCGTTGTTGGTGTCGTTGTTGTTGGTGTCGTTGTTGGTGTCGTTGTTGTTGGTGTAGTTGTTGGTGTCGTTGTTGGTGTCGTTTTTGGTGTCGTTGTTGGTGTCGTTGTTGGTGTCGTTGTTGGTGTCGTTGTTGGTGTCGTTGTTGTTGGTGTTCGTGTCCTTGTTGTCGGTCTCTTTGTTGTTGGTGTCCTTGTTTTTTGTGTTGTGTTTGCTGCCTGTTTAGTGGTGGCTGTAGTTTTTCTAGTTGACCTGGTTGTCAGCATCGGTCTTCTGGTGCTCATCATAGCTTAAATAAACAAAAAAAATGATTATAAGTGTCGTTTCACGTTTTATGAATCTTTCACAAAAAGTTAATAATTTTAACTCATGCAAAAAAAAGTAATTGTAAAACTTATTAGAAAAATCTTTGGTACTAAACAAAATAAGATAAAACCTTAGAACCTACCGGCACAAGTAGCCGACTGGAATTTTTGTTTGATATTTTGTAAGGCACGGAAATCCGACACGCGGAAGACGTATTGCTCACTGGGATACGATGCCATCTCTTCTAGCTCACTCATGTCAACGTCGCCACCAACACCGATGGCAAAGACATTCGCGCCTGCGACATCAAAGAAACAGAAACAAGTTATTGGGCCGGACAAGTTCTCATCATTCTAAATTTTTTTTATATAGTTCCAATCCTTGGATGAACTATGAAAAATCTAATTTACGAGAAAAATGGCCCGTTGAGGAAGGATACAACGGGCGCTTTTCTCTAAACTAAAACCACCCCACCCCACCCCCACCCCCACACACACTACCCACCCCCCACCCCCACCCCCCACCCCCCCAAAAAAACATGTCTGCCGTCCAATTCAACAAAATATAATTATATACTTATTCCAGTGTCCGCCCCCTCCCCAAAAATTCTACCCCCCGCCCTCGAAAATTTCAAGTACCACCACCCCCTCTCCGGGGAGGAAAAAGTCTGAAAGAAACACTGGTGTCGCGCTTAGCCACTACCCGAAGAATTGCATTAAAGAAATTGCAAGAAAACCACTTTTTAGATTAGACACATTAATTAGGCGATAATTTTATTATAGTGTATCGATGAAGAAATTTCTTTTGAGTTGGGGAGGGGGGGGGGGGGCTCAGACGTTCTTACGCGGGGGTGGGGCTTCGTCCCTACCCGAAGAATTGTATGAAAGAAACTCTTCCCGCAAACCATTTAGATTAGACAAAATTGCCTTTTTATTCAATGTTTACTCGAGAATCAATGACGTCATATTACTGTGTGCACTCTCCGGCTTGAGATTATTTTCTACTATATGACGTCATACTTCGTTTTTCGAATTACTATGCATGTTTTTAATTTGCTTGTGTTTTCTCTAGAGCGTTCTTGTCAGATACATAGATAGATACATAGATAGATAGATAGATAGACAGACAGCGAAACTATCTAATTTATTAAAATTAAAATGTTGGATTAGATTTTTTAATTAGATATTATAAATCTACATTTTCTTAGTATTATTTTTTTTTTATTAGTGTGTAAAAATCAATTCATATGAAATCTCAAATATTCACAATTTTTCTCTTGGTTCAAATATATGGCTCAATATATACTAATAATCAAGATAATAATGTACATTTTATTATACCATAGATCTTTAATTTCCTGGCGGCTGACATCGTTTCTTGCGATTTTGTGAACTTGCCATCAGTGAGAACAACTACAAGCTTGGCCGCGCCCCTCCTTGGAGCCTCTACAAACATTTGTTGGTGGGCGTATTGCAAAGCGAGATGGGTGTTGGTCCAGCCTCGATTGTATCTCATGTTCTCTACAGCCCTGACAGCCCGGCTCACGCTCTTTCGATAAAATTTAGAAATAGCAGTGAGAATTTGCTGGGGGTGATTGGGTCTACAGAAGAGTACCAAATGTGTTACCCATACGAGTTCATCTAATCGGAAGACTCTTTAGACTTTGCATATACAGAAACAGTTAAGTGTGTTTAAAAAGAGGAATGTCTTCAATACATTTGCTTTTAAGCTTTTATTTATAGGCGAGTAAACTAGTACAAGTGTTAAGAATACAAATAAAATTATATTTAGGGTTAGGCTGTAGTTTAGGCATTATTATAGATGGAAGGCTAGGCGGTATATATATATATATATATATATATATATATATATATATATATATATATATATATATATATATATATATATATATATATATATATATGTATATATATATACATACATATATATATATATGTGTGTGGGGGGGGGGGGTGTGGGGGTGGGTGTGAGTGTGGGAGTGAGTGTGTGTGTGTAATGTTTACAAATACGTTACTTTTAAAATGTACCTGAGATCTCATTAACAACAACTGAGGAAATACTTGTGTACCAAAGAGTGCTATTCCAACTCTTATATCATTTGCTGCTTGCCCAACAGGTAAGGACGAGATAGCATCTTTGACGAATGTTTTCATGTGGGTATGGAAGTTTCTGTAACCAATGGAGCTGGACGTGTCCAAAAGAAAGATGATATCGGCTGGGACTCTGCAAGTCTGTTTAGCCCTTATGGCTCTAGCATCACAGCTCTGGAGAATGAAAAAAATGAATACATTCATGTTAAGTTTCTGTAGTATGGGTTTCACATTAAATACAATTCACAATAAAGAATACTGAAAATGTTTACTTACTAATAACAAGATAGCCGCAGAGAAAAAAATGGCGCATATATATCTAGTTAATGCTAAACTGGCCATGTCTTCGAGCCAATGAAAGTTTGTTGCAAAAATCCTTAAATGTTATTGTCTTCTACGGAGAACTGTTTTTAAAGCGTGACTTGTTTCCTCCTTGACTGTCTTTCTTTCCTTTTGTTGGACCACGAGACGCCTATCTGTTAGTGCTATCTCGTGAAGGGCAGTGAACGCTTTATACACAATGCAGATTCCACTTACAGCAAGTGGATGACGTCATTTGTCGTGGTTGCTTTTTGTTCTCAGCAGCGTCGCTAGGTCTGGTGTCACCCGGTGCGGCACCTCATGGTGTCGTCCCCCACCCCACCCCCCTGTTTTTTTTTCTCTTTAAGTTTTGCAGTTGGTGTCAGTCAACACCCCCCCCCCCCCCCCCCGCAGCAAAAGCCTTTAAGCGTTCACATTTAGTACTGATGATGTTTCTCTATAGTCGTCTGTTAATACAGCTGGATGTGGCATTGTTTTCTGTAGAGTTTGCGTGCGTGTCTACTTCATGGTGTCACCCCTTTCCGCACCCTCGTCCCCGCCTCTGGACGCTTGTGCTTATACTACCGGGTTTAATTTTGAGAAACGTTGTCTTCTGTTGACGTATGGGTAAGTGTTAAGTTGTTGTCCTGGTAACAATGCTCTATTATGTGACGGTCATTATGACTTGTGCAAACAAGGGTAAAAACATTTTATTTCGACACAATAAAAAAACTCTCACAGTTACTCCTTATTAACTAATTGGTTAAAGTAATTTGACGGTATGAAATCTTTTTAAATCCTTTATTAATCCTGAACTCCATTGTCAGAACGTTTTTTATATCTGTATCATTGAGTGGGTGGGGCGGGGTATAATTTTGCCTTTTTTTTTCTTTAATTTGATTTTAACAATGAAAGAGCTGCAACCATAAGCAACTAAATTAGTTGTGTAACAAAATAAGATATAAAAGCTAACACAAGAAATGAGAGAAATGAAATCTATGTACACAAATAAATGCTAGAAATAGAAATCGACCCATAACACAAATGGAAATGTGAATCAAATAATATCGAAAATTAAATAATAACCCTGCACCCCCCCCCCCCTTTTTTTTTTTGCCGTTCATCCCTCCTCGACCCACGACCATACTTACTTCTGCTTTCCCTCGCTCCCTCTCACCCCCTGCCCATTCCTCCCCCCCCCCCTCCCCCAAGCACTGACACAAACACCAATATTTTAAAAAGCAGTGCAGTCAGTTTTGAAGGCATAAAATAAAATAAAAACTTACATCTGAAAATTACATTCACATTAGTTAAAATCTATTCAAACTGTTAAGTCTTGAGTCAGATCAACCCCTGATGATGAGTTTATAATCCTACCCCCTCCCATTGCTACAGTACTAGCAGGAACAACCCCCCCCCCCCCCCCCAATGATTTAGCCTAAATTACACGCTCCAATAATATAGCACAGATAACCGGACAAAATTTACAACCTATAATCATACAGCACTAGAAACAAAACTAAGGTGATATCTTTGTTCCACCCACACTCGGTAAGTTCTTAGACTAAATAATATGACCTGTCTGCTTTGTCCCATTACTTCCTTCCACCCCACACACACACAATGCTCAGTCACATTGTCATTTGTGTGTGTAATTGTCTGTGTGTGTATTTGTGTGTGTATGTTTGCATGTATGTATGTATGTGTGTGTGTGTGTGTGAAAAGCTTCCTGTGTGAATACATAATGACTGTTGCCATTTAAGACACTCTAATCCAACTACCCTGTAAGCCTGGCTACGACCCTGTGCAGAGAGTGTATGTAGGTGTGGGTGTGTGGGTGTGTTTGTGTGGGTGTGTTTGGTGTGTATGTATGGGTGGGTGGGTGGGTGGGTGTGTGTGTGCGTGCGTGTGTACAACTTCCTGTGTGTATACATGATGACTGTCGCCATTTTAGACACTCTAATCCAACTACCCTAAAAGCATGGCTACGCTCTGTGTAGAGTCGCCACTGACTGTCGACGCTACTACTGTTTAGTCACCCCAGACATCTTGTCTTAAACATATTACTCCTGACATATCCCATGCCCACAACAGGGCGAGAATAAATTCATTGTCTGACGAAATCTTCCAGAAGTATGGAAATCGTTAATGACGTCACCTAGGGGACTGAGTGGCCTCGTGGTAGAGAGCTGGACTGCTAACCCATAAGTCTCGAGTTCGAATCCGGGTTCAAGTCAGTAGACAGTCCCAGAATCTACCCAGCTCTGATGGGTATCCAACTCACGTTAGGGTAAATAAAGGTGGCTCGGCATAGTGCTGACCACACTCCCCTTTCTTATGCCGAGGACACAGAAACAAGTGAACTCTACTTCCCATAGACCGTCAGGTTTGAGAGGGAACTTAACTTTACAGGCTGGAGGGTGGGGGAGGATTACAACTTCTTCACTACATGGTGGATTATAATTAAGTTAGTTAAATTGTATGTTATTTTGGAAGAGGGAGGAGGTTGCGAGTCGGGGACAAAAATTTTAAAATACCTTGACCTTTATGGACTTAGTTGGAATGAAAAGATGTGTGTATGTTAGCCAGGACGAATGTCAGTTGCTTCAACCCATCACCACTCAAGACTAAAGGTCACACCACATCTAGATAAAACAGAAGACAAGTTTTTAACTTCAGATTTTTTTACCTGACAGACTTTACAAGTGGCCGTATAACTTTGTTCCAAGAGAATTCTTTTTGCTTCTTGACTTACTGAGTGCTGTGGTTATATTGGCAATTCTTGATTTGTTCCCTCCCTGACCGGGTAGAAAACATTACCCCCCCCCCCCACACACACACACACACACCCCGTGATCATGAAATAGTGGTACCAATAAATAAAACAACGATTTTCATCTATTTAAGACTTTAGTCCCTTATATGAAAGAAAATGGTATCGTCTGTTGTGTATAAGATTGATCTCAACTAAGCAAAGTGTTGTTTTAATTTACATCAGAGAGTGACTACATCGATGTAACATAAGAAGCTGGGCAGTCAAGCAAAGAACGTAAACATAGAATACTTAATAAAATAACAAAATAAACATGGAAATAAATTTTAATAAACGTTTAATGAAATGCAAGAAACATAGAGTTAAAAAGTATGTATGCAATTCATGTTTGTAAAATATGCCTAAAATGTTTTCTTATATACTAGAATTTGTGCACATATTAACTAACGCGGATGGTGGTGAAATAACGAATTATAACAACAAAATATTTTTATTGAATTATTCATATTTTCAAAAAAAAAAATCATTTCATTGAAATTATTCCTTCTGTTGGCTTAACGAGACATTTCTCTCTCAAAAGACGATCACATTTTGTGTACCATTGTCAAGTCTAAGTCATAGTAGGTGTGGGTGTGATAAGGAGGGGATATAAGGAATGTTACATTACATGTAGGAATTTGCATGGGGTGGACGGTGAGTAAATAATAAGCAAATAAATTGTATTTCTTGAGAGACTGCGTGATTATGGTATTATATTGCAGGGAAAGAGAAGAGGGATACAAAATGCAGGTTAATAGACATATGCTCATTGGATAGACGAGGGCTCCGGAGATGGAACTAGAAGAAAGAACAGCTAGTAACTAGCTTTATTTAGTTGAAAGAAGAGTAGCTTAGACAGGAGGAACACCTCCGCCGAAGATGTCTTTAGTTGTTGTTGGCGTAGTTGTAGTGGTGGTTGTTCTAGTTGTTCTAGTTAATTTAGTTGTCAAATTAGGTCTTTTGGTGCTCATCATCGCTTAAATAAAAATAAAAAGTTCATAAGTATCGTTTATGTTCTACAAAACATGCAAACGTTATGGTCTAAAAACGCATTTAATACTCGATTTGTTATAACATTGGAAGGGTTGACAACTCTAAAATTTTAACTTCTTAAAAGCATCCGAAAATTGAAAATCTAATTGAATATGATAAAACCTTAGAACCTACCTGCACAAGTAGCCGACTGGAATTTTTGTTTGATATTTTGTAAGGCACGGAAATCCGACACGCGGAAGACGTAATGCTCACTGGGATACGATGCCATCTCTTCTAGCTCACTTACGTCAACGTCGCCACCAACACCGATGGCAAAGACATCCACGCCTGCGACATCAAAGAAACAAAAAGCATATGAAGGGATAGTGTGGTCAACACAGCCGCTTTTACCTTCGTGGGTCAGGTAACCAACAGAGCTGGGTGGTTTCAGGGACGTTTTACTGTGAAAATTTCAGGATTCGAACTCGAGACTTTCGAGCATGCAGTCGAATGCTCTACCACCCAACCACGCCCTACCACCTTCTTGATAGTATGAAATCTAAAGTGTATACGATTTTTATTTTGATTACAATATTAGGCTCAAGCCGGATCCATAATCAATGTATTAATATGAATATTATTTTACCATAGTTCTTTAAAGTCCTGGCGGCTGACATCGTTTCTTGCGATTTTGTGAACTTGCCATCAGTGAGAACAACTACAAGCTTGGCCACGCCCCTCCTTGGAGCCTCTATGAACATTTGTTGGTGGGCGTATTGCAAAGCGAGATGGGTGTTGGTCCAGCCTCGATTGTATCTCATGTCCTCTACAGCCCTGACCGCTTGACTCACGCTCTACGGATAGAATGTAGAAACTGTCCAATAATAAAATCAAATGGTATGCTTTGAAAGTATGGGTAACTTAAACACCGTTGTTTTGATCTTATTATCCCAAGGCAAGTAGAATGATACTTAGCTAAGCTAATTTATTTACTGAGTCGTAATATTTCCTGTCTGTATCACACGCATGGTACGATCGATTTTGAGGAGTTTAGTTTCAAAAATAATAACTAAACTAGTTATAGTATAAATGTTAGTAAAAAGATTAAAATTAGAGTTAGGTTAGTGCTTTCTCATTTTTATCTATGTGAAACTAGGCGGAATGACTATATATAAATATATATATATATATATATATATATATATATATATATATATATATATATATATATATATATATGTACATATATATATATATATATATATATATATATATATATATATATATATATATATATATATATATATATATATATATATATATATATAATGATACTTTTTAAATTTTACCTGATCGCTCTTTAACCAGAACTGAGGAAATACTTGTGTACCAAAGAGTGCTATTCCAACTCTTATATCATTTGCTGCTTGCCCAACAGGTAAGGACGAGATAGCATCTTTGACGAATGTTTTCATGTGGGTATGGAAGTTTCTGTAACCAATGGAGCTGGACGTGTCCAAAAGAAAGATGATATCGGCTGGGACTCTGCAAGTCTGTTTAGCCCTTATGGCTCTAGCATCACAGCTCTGGAGAATGAAAAAAATGAATACATTCATGTTAAGTTTCTGTAGTATGGGTTTCACATTAAATACAATTCACAATAAAGAATACTGAAAATGTTTACTTACTAATAACAAGATAGCCGCAGAGAAAAAAATGGCGCATATATATCTAGTTAATGCTAAACTGGCCATGTCTTCGAGCCAATGAAAGTTTGTTGCAAAAATCCTTAAATGTTATTGTCTTCTACGGAGAACTGTTTTTAAAGCGTGACTTGTTTCCTCCTTGACTGTCTTTCTTTCCTTTTGTTGGACCACGAGACGCCTATCTGTTAGTGCTATCTCGTGAAGGGCAGTGAACGCTTTATACACAATGCAGATTCCACTTACAGCAAGTGGATGACGTCATTTGTCGTGGTTGCTTTTTGTTCTCAGCAGCGTCGCTAGGTCTGGTGTCACCCGGTGCGGCACCTCATGGTGTCGTCCCCCACCCCACCCCCCTGTTTTTTTTTCTCTTTAAGTTTTGCAGTTGGTGTCAGTCAACACCCCCCCCCCCCCCGCAGCAAAAGCCTTTAAGCGTTCACATTTAGTACTGATGATGTTTCTCTATAGTCGTCTGTTAATACAGCTGGATGTGGCATTGTTTTCTGTAGAGTTTGCGTGCGTGTCTACTTCATGGTGTCACCCCTTTCCGCACCCCCGTCCCCGCCTCTGGACGCTTGTGCTTATACTACCGGGTTTAATTTTGAGAAACGTTGTCTTCTGTTGACGTATGGGTAAGTGTTAAGTTGTTGTCCTGGTAACAATGCTCTATTATGTGACGGTCATTATGACTTGTGCAAACAAGGGTAAAAACATTTTATTTCGACACAATAAAAAAACTCTCACAGTTACTCCTTATTAACTAATTGGTTAAAGTAATTTGACGGTATGAAATCTTTTTAAATCCTTTATTAATCCTGAACTCCATTGTCAGAACGTTTTTTATATCTGTATCATTGAGTGGGTGGGGCGGGGTATAATTTTGCCTTTTTTTTTCTTTAATTTGATTTTAACAATGAAAGAGCTGCAACCATAAGCAACTAAATTAGTTGTGTAACAAAATAAGATATAAAAGCTAACACAAGAAATGAGAGAAATGAAATCTATGTACACAAATAAATGCTAGAAATAGAAATCGACCCATAACACAAATGGAAATGTGAATCAAATAATATCGAAAATTAAATAATAACCCTGCACCCCCCCCCCTTTTTTTTTTGCCGTTCATCCCTCCTCGACCCACGACCATACTTACTTCTGCTTTCCCTCGCTCCCTCTCACCCCCTGCCCATTCCTCCCCCCCCCCCCTCCCCCAAGCACTGACACAAACACCAATATTTTAAAAAGCAGTGCAGTCAGTTTTGAAGGCATAAAATAAAATAAAAACTTACATCTGAAAATTACATTCACATTAGTTAAAATCTATTCAAACTGTTAAGTCTTGAGTCAGATCAACCCCTGATGATGAGTTTATAATCCTACCCCCTCCCATTGCTACAGTACTAGCAGGAACAACCCCCCCCCCCCCCCCCCCCAATGATTTAGCCTAAATTACACGCTCCAATAATATAGCACAGATAACCGGACAAAATTTACAACCTATAATCATACAGCACTAGAAACAAAACTAAGGTGATATCTTTGTTCCACCCACACTCGGTAAGTTCTTAGACTAAATAATATGACCTGTCTGCTTTGTCCCATTACTTCCTTCCACCCCACACACACACAATGCTCAGTCACATTGTCATTTGTGTGTGTAATTGTCTGTGTGTGTATTTGTGTGTGTATGTTTGCATGTATGTATGTATGTGTGTGTGTGTGTGTGAAAAGCTTCCTGTGTGAATACATAATGACTGTTGCCATTTAAGACACTCTAATCCAACTACCCTGTAAGCCTGGCTACGACCCTGTGCAGAGAGTGTATGTAGGTGTGGGTGTGTGGGTGTGTTTGTGTGGGTGTGTTTGGTGTGTATGTATGGGTGGGTGGGTGGGTGGGTGTGTGTGTGCGTGCGTGTGTACAACTTCCTGTGTGTATACATGATGACTGTCGCCATTTTAGACACTCTAATCCAACTACCCTAAAAGCATGGCTACGCTCTGTGTAGAGTCGCCACTGACTGTCGACGCTACTACTGTTTAGTCACCCCAGACATCTTGTCTTAAACATATTACTCCTGACATATCCCATGCCCACAACAGGGCGAGAATAAATTCATTGTCTGACGAAATCTTCCAGAAGTATGGAAATCGTTAATGACGTCACCTAGGGGACTGAGTGGCCTCGTGGTAGAGAGCTGGACTGCTAACCCATAAGTCTCGAGTTCGAATCCGGGTTCAAGTCAGTAGACAGTCCCAGAATCTACCCAGCTCTGATGGGTATCCAACTCACGTTAGGGTAAATAAAGGTGGCTCGGCATAGTGCTGACCACACTCCCCTTTCTTATGCCGAGGACACAGAAACAAGTGAACTCTACTTCCCATAGACCGTCAGGTTTGAGAGGGAACTTAACTTTACAGGCTGGAGGGTGGGGGAGGATTACAACTTCTTCACTACATGGTGGATTATAATTAAGTTAGTTAAATTGTATGTTATTTTGGAAGAGGGAGGAGGTTGCGAGTCGGGGACAAAAATTTTAAAATACCTTGACCTTTATGGACTTAGTTGGAATGAAAAGATGTGTGTATGTTAGCCAGGACGAATGTCAGTTGCTTCAACCCATCACCACTCAAGACTAAAGGTCACACCACATCTAGATAAAACAGAAGACAAGTTTTTAACTTCAGATTTTTTTACCTGACAGACTTTACAAGTGGCCGTATAACTTTGTTCCAAGAGAATTCTTTTTGCTTCTTGACTTACTGAGTGCTGTGGTTATATTGGCAATTCTTGATTTGTTCCCTCCCTGACCGGGTAGAAAACATTACCCCCCCCCACACACACACACACACCCCGTGATCATGAAATAGTGGTACCAATAAATAAAACAACGATTTTCATCTATTTAAGACTTTAGTCCCTTATATGAAAGAAAATGGTATCGTCTGTTGTGTATAAGATTGATCTCAACTAAGCAAAGTGTTGTTTTAATTTACATCAGAGAGTGACTACATCGATGTAACATAAGAAGCTGGGCAGTCAAGCAAAGAACGTAAACATAGAATACTTAATAAAATAACAAAATAAACATGGAAATAAATTTTAATAAACGTTTAATGAAATGCAAGAAACATAGAGTTAAAAAGTATGTATGCAATTCATGTTTGTAAAATATGCCTAAAATGTTTTCTTATATACTAGAATTTGTGCACATATTAACTAACGCGGATGGTGGTGAAATAACGAATTATAACAACAAAATATTTTTATTGAATTATTCATATTTTCAAAAAAAAAAATCATTTCATTGAAATTATTCCTTCTGTTGGCTTAACGAGACATTTCTCTCTCAAAAGACGATCACATTTTGTGTACCATTGTCAAGTCTAAGTCATAGTAGGTGTGGGTGTGATAAGGAGGGGATATAAGGAATGTTACATTACATGTAGGAATTTGCATGGGGTGGACGGTGAGTAAATAATAAGCAAATAAATTGTATTTCTTGAGAGACTGCGTGATTATGGTATTATATTGCAGGGAAAGAGAAGAGGGATACAAAATGCAGGTTAATAGACATATGCTCATTGGATAGACGAGGGCTCCGGAGATGGAACTAGAAGAAAGAACAGCTAGTAACTAGCTTTATTTAGTTGAAAGAAGAGTAGCTTAGACAGGAGGAACACCTCCGCCGAAGATGTCTTTAGTTGTTGTTGGCGTAGTTGTAGTGGTGGTTGTTCTAGTTGTTCTAGTTAATTTAGTTGTCAAATTAGGTCTTTTGGTGCTCATCATCGCTTAAATAAAAATAAAAAGTTCATAAGTATCGTTTATGTTCTACAAAACATGCAAACCTTATGGTCTAAAAACGCATTTAATACTCGATTTGTTATAACATTGGAAGGGTTGACAACTCTAAAATTTTAACTTCTTAAAAGCATCCGAAAATTGAAAATCTAATTGAATAAGATAAAACCTTAGAACCTACCTGCACAAGTAGCCGACTGGAATTTTTGTTTGATATTTTGTAAGGCACGGAAATCCGACACGCGGAAGACGTATTGCTCACTGGGATACGATGCCATCTCTTCTAGCTCACTTACGTCAACGTCGCCACCAACACCGATGGCAAAGACATCCACGCCTGCGACATCAAAGAAACAAAAAGCATATGAAGGGATAGTGTGGTCAACACAGCCGCTTTTACCTTCGTGGGTCAGGTAACCAACAGAGCTGGGTGGTTTCAGGGACGTTTTACTGTGAAAATTTCAGGATTCGAACTCGAGACTTTCGAGCATGCAGTCGAATGCTCTACCACCCAACCACGCCCTACCACCTTCTTGATAGTATGAAATCTAAAGTGTATACGATTTTTATTTTGATTACAATATTAGGCTCAAGCCGGATCCATAATCAATGTATTAATATGAATATTATTTTACCATAGTTCTTTAAAGTCCTGGCGGCTGACATCGTTTCTTGCGATTTTGTGAACTTGCCATCAGTGAGAACAACTACAAGCTTGGCCACGCCCCTCCTTGGAGCCTCTATGAACATTTGTTGGTGGGCGTATTGCAAAGCGAGATGGGTGTTGGTCCAGCCTCGATTGTATCTCATGTCCTCTACAGCCCTGACCGCTTGACTCACGCTCTACGGATAGAATGTAGAAACTGTCCAATAATAAAATCAAATGGTATGCTTTGAAAGTATGGGTAACTTAAACACCGTTGTTTTGATCTTATTATCCCAAGGCAAGTAGAATGATACTTAGCTAAGCTAATTTATTTACTGAGTCGTAATATTTCCTGTCTGTATCACACGCATGGTACGATCGATTTTGAGGAGTTTAGTTTCAAAAATAATAACTAAACTAGTTATAGTATAAATGTTAGTAAAAAGATTAAAATTAGAGTTAGGTTAGTGCTTTCTCATTTTTATCTATGTGAAACTAGGCGGAATGACTATATATATATAAATATATATATATATATATATATATATATATATATATATATATATATATATATATATATATATATATAATGATACTTTTTAAATTTTACCTGATCGCTCTTTAACCAGAACTGAGGAAATACGTGTGTACCAAAGAGTACTATTCCAACTCTTATATCATTTGCTGCTTGCCCAACAGGTAAGGACGAGATAGCATCTTTGACGAATGTTTTCATGTGGGTATGGAAGTTTCTGTAACCAATGGAGCTGGACGTGTCCAACAGAAAGATGATGTCGGCTGGCACTCTGCAAGTCCCGAGGGCTTTAGCATCACAGCTCTGGAGAATGGAAAAAACAAAATCTATTCATGCCGGCTAGGTTTCTTTAGCATGGGCCTAATATTAAATGAAATTCACAATAATAAATACTGACTACGTTTTACTTACTGTTAGCAAAACAGTAGCAGAGAGGAAAATGGCGCACATAGATCTAATTAATACTGAAAAGGCCATGTTTTCAAGTCAAAGAAACTCTGTAGCAAGAATCCTTAATTTATGAAATTGACAGAGAACTGGTTTTAAAGCGTGACTTGTTGGTTCCTCTGTGTCTTTCCTTCTGTAGTACCCCAAGACGCCTATCAGCTAGTCCTGCTCCTGTAAAGGGGCAGTGAGCGCTTTATACACAAAGTTGATTCCGCTTGTAGTAAGTGGCTGACGTCATTTCTCGTTAAACTCTTGGGCTTCTGTTTTCTTCAACCACCGGTTTTAATTTTGAGAAAAGATCTCTTGTCGTGTGGGTGCAGCTAGTGCTAGAAACAATGCTGTGTTATGTGAAGGTCACCACGATTTGTGCAAACAAAAACAAGCTCTCACTGGTTTTTCCTTGAACTGCGGGTTCAAGTAATTGGAATGTATGTTATCTTTTTAAATCCTTAATTAACCCAAAACTCCACCGTCAGTACGATTTGTACTTATTTCCCTTTGCCCTCTCCGACCTCCTGCCCGTTCATACCCTCCCGACCCCAGCTCGTTCCTCCCTCTCCCTTCCCCCACACCTGCCCATTCATCCTACTCTCCCTACCCCCACCCCCTCCTATCTGCCCTAGCGAACCCACGTACAAACCCACCCCAACAAGCAATGACGCACACACACACACACACGCACGAAAATGCACACGCAAACACTAATATTTAAAAAGCATTCAAGCAGACCGTTGAAAGAAAAATTATAAAAATATATTGACATTAAAAAATAAATTCACTTTAGCACAAACCATTCTAAAAGTTTTAAATCTTTCAATAGGGCCGGAGTCATATAAATATTAATTTCAAATAGATTAAAGCATTTTCCAGTGATTACGGACAAATTGTTATTGCTCAAAATAATATAGCACACGTAACAGGACAAACAGTAAAGCCCCCAATGTTATAGCTTAGGCAGAGGCGCAGCGACCCTTCCCGGCGCCCGGGGACAAACTTTTCCGATTTGCACCCCCCCCTCAAACTTTCGATTTGCACCCCCCCCCCCCCTCACACTTTCGATTCGCACCCCCTCAACCTTTCAATTTATTTTTCCAATCCAATTTGGTGCCCCTAAGTTCGGCGCCCGGGGACAAATGTCCCCCCCCCCTCGCTACGCTACTGGGCTTAGGTAACAGGACAAAAATTAATAAGCCCCAATGATATAGTACAGATAAGCGGAGAAACGTTACAAGCAGTAATTAAATAGCACAGATAACAAAAGTTACACGCTCAGTCATATAGCACAGATAACCGGACAAAAGTTACACGACAAAAGTTACACAATTTTCCACCCACATGTTCTATTCTTGTACCTAATTATACCGGCTGGCCACTTCAACCCCCCCCCCCCAACTCAGCCAGTGTGTCGTCTAGACACTGCCACAGCCTACTTATCTAGTTCAGTGAACGTTTTCGTGACGCTATGAACTGTTGGCGTACACAGCTATGGTCATTGTTTTGTGTCCTGTCTACGCTAAAAGTGGTCACTTTAAGTCAAGATTTTATGTGGGTCATGACATGATCGAGAAGGTCACAGGCCTACATGTCGTCATCTTAGGTCACAGCCGAAACACATGTCGCAACTGCTATATCTATGCGAGACACATGAAATTTGTTGTGTAATAGTGCTCATAAAAATAAAATATTCGTATACCGAAAAAGCGATACTATTGGAACTACGGAGACCCAAAGCAGGGGTTCTTTTAGACATTATCTCCGGGGAAGGGGGGGGGGACTTGAAACCCATGGGGAAGCCCTTAAAATTATATATATTTTCTATATAAAAAATATTTTTATGTCGCATTGCCGTCTGGGTGGGGAAAGGGGGGGGGGTCGGTTGGACTTTAAACCTATTACAGTGGTACCTCGACGTACGAGTGCCTCGACATACGAGATTTTTTAGATACGATCTGTGGAGCGAATTAAAATTTGCTTTGACATACGAGCAAAATTTGAGATACGAGTGACAGAATTGGCGCCTTTCACAGGTCGAGGAAAAGAAACATCCCGAAAAAGTTGCAACTGATTATGAATCGAAGCTATTTAATTATACTTACCTTACTCATTTCTGAAACATTCTGAAATTAAGGAAATACAAACTTCCTTAAACGTGTTAGCGAAAAAAGGAACAAAGCGCGAAGAGCAAAGTAGTGGCGAAATTAACCGTTAAGTTTAGGGTTAAAGTGTAGCGTTAAGAGTGTAACGGGTTCGTAAAAAAAAGCTTATCATTAACAATTAGTAAATGAACTACTTAAAGCTCTTCCCTATCTCATCCACCCTACACTGGGCTTAGAGGCGTAGCGAGTGGGGGGCGGGGGTGCGGACCGCACCGGGTGACACCATTTAGGGGGGTGACACCAAGGCAAAAAATGGCAAAATATATAGAGAAAAATGATAATTCCACTTAATTAAGTGATTAATTCGAGTGTTAAATAGTTTTTTAAGAGGTGCAAATCAAAAGGTTTGAGGGGGGGGGGGGGGGTGTGCAAATCGAAAGGGGGGTTGCAAATCGAAAGTTTGTGGGGGTGCAAATCGAAAGTTTGAGGGGGCAGGTGCAAATCGAAAATTGAAAGTTTGTCCCCCGGGAAGGGTCGCTACGCCTCTGGGGGGTGACACAATTAAGTGCCGCACCGGGTGACACCCGACCTCGCTACGCCACTGACTGGGCTTACACCACCACCAGCATCTTCCGTAGGTGAAGTTGGATGATTTTCAAGGGAAATACACTTAATTAATAAAACCAGTTCATTTCTTTGCATGCTTTTCCTTTTTTATTAGAAAAAAAAATATACTTGTCTTGTATGTATACACTTTTCTAATTTAAAAAAAAATCACGAGGGTTGTACCTAGCAATACACTTAATTTCAATGAAAAAATAGCTTTGATACGCGAGCAATATCGACGAACAAATTAAACTCGTATCTTGAGGTACTACTGGTACTTTGTTTGCCCACTGGAAAATTGAAGTGCGCCCCCCCCCCCCTAGAAAGATGTACTAATGGTTTTACTATATTTATATGGTAGTATTTTACTTAGGTTTAAGCTATAAATTGGATGACATGTGTTTTACATTAGTTTTCGACATAAACATAATTATTTTATAAAAGATACAATTTTAAAAGCGAAAAAATTATATACAGTTTGGCGTATTTTAAAATTTACTATTAACAAGTGTGTTATTTTAACACATAACACAACACAGGAAGTGTGTATCCTCGGTTCAGATCACATTCAAACCGAGGAATTGTTGAATGTCTCGCAGAATGACATTATCGGAAGCTGAATTTTTGATGCGTTGCTGTTTTACAGGTAGGCCTTGATTATACTATGTTGTGTTTGAATTAATTGTTTTTTCAGTTCGTTAATCGTTAGAAGATTACTTGAGACGAGTGTTGATTATTTAAAATTAATAACTCATCTCTGCGGTACGGGTAACAGAATTAGCCCCTATAGTATAGTCCTATAGACTTATACTGTCTTATACTATCTATATTATTAGCATCATACTATTTTAGTAGTAGTAGTAGATTCTAGCTCTGTTTCATAAGTAATCTACCCGATCTACTTTTCAACGGATCTATATATTTTTCCAGATCTATTTTATTTATTAGGGGTCATCTATAAATGACGTCACGCTTTTTTACGATTTTTACCTCCCCCCTTCCCCTCCGTCACAAATCGTCACAAAAAGCCAGACCCCTCCCCCTTAAAATGACATCACACCTCAGCCTACAACCCCCCCCCCCCCCTCAAAATTGCAGTTGAATTTTTTTTAATAAAATATGGATATTTTGTCCACAATCTTGTCTGAACTCAGTCAAAATAGAGTAATTTAATCAATTCCTATTGCAATTTATTAAAACAGTTTTCTAAAACGCTAAGTAACGTCTAAAATTCGTTTTCTAACATTGCTTTTTTATAATGCAAAAGTGTAACGTGGAACTATCTGAACCCCCACCCCTCCCCCTCATCACACATTGTCACAAAATTACGGACCTCCCCTCCCCCCTACGAGTGTGACGTCATTTATGGACGACCCCTAATACATTTATATTTTTAAAATATTTTAAATTTATAATTTTGTTTCAAACATTAAATTTGTATTTATCTGATTACAATTCCATTTTCTCATTAAGGTCCTTACAAAAAACTCGATTATATTCAACATTCTAAACGTTTAAATAATATTCCATCAAACTGCACGTTAGGCTTATCAATATTTATTAATTTAGTATTGATTTTATTTTTTTAGAAGAAAAGGGGGGGGGGGTAACCATTAAAAACAAATACTATATTTTTTACATGAGTTATAGGACTTTTAAAAAAAAAATATTCTGATAAAATTTTTATACTTTTCTTTTTTTTTTTTTTTTTTTTCGTGTAGATCACAAGCTGATATTGTGAACATTTGGACTTTCAGTGTGAAATATTGGTCATCATGGGGTGTTCTTGACCAAAGTATCAACGTTATGGAATTTGGCTACATATTGATCAATGACGTTACTTATTGACCAACAAGGTTACATCTTGACCATATAGGTTAAGTCGAACATCATGGCCATCAGAACAACCTCCAAGGCATTGCTGGAACCTAGTTACATCAGAAACAACAACGTTACATCGTAATCTACTTACATCTTTTCCAACAAGGGTAACATCTTTAACAACTTACATCTTGACCATCAGAACAACGTCAATAAAGTATCCAGATAAACAGGTTAGAACATGAGAATTTTGGATACATCGTGATGGAACTTTGTTGCTTCTTAACCAACAATCTTGACTTTTTTTGTTACATCTTGTACAACTTAATCTTGGCCATCAGAACAACATCTAAGGCATTAATTAAATATCAAGATAATTGTGTTACAGCTTGATGGAACTTAGTTAATACAGGCCCCACAGTGGTTCATCTTGAACATCAAGGTTACATCTTGAAATACAAGATGATATATTAGCCAACAAGGCTATATCCTGCCCAATCAGTCTATTTCATGATCATCTAACTTAAGTACCAGCAAACCAGTATCATGACCATCGATAAATCTTGCCAGCTAACCAGTCTGCATCTTGGTCAAAATAGGTACATCTTTACCAACAAAGAAAGATACATCTTGGTCAACAAAGAGACATCTTTACCAACAAAGAAAGATACATCTTGGTCAACAAATATCCATCTGTACCAACAAAGAAAGATACATCTTGGTCAACAAAGAGACATCTTTACCAACAAAGAAAGATACATCTTGGTCAACAAAGAGACATCTTTACCAACAAAGAAAGATACATCTTGGTCAACAAAGAGACATCTTTACCAACAAAGAAAGATACATCTTGGTCAACAAAGGTAAATCTTTACCAACAAAGAAAGATACATCTTGGTCAACAAAGGTAAATCTTTACCAACAAAGAAAGATACATCTTGGTCAACAAAGAGACATCTTTACTAACAAAGAAAGATACATCTTGGTCAACAAATATCCATCTGTACCAACAAAGAAAGATACATCTTGGTCAACAAAGAGACATCTTTACCAACAAAGAAATATACATCTTGGTCAACATAGATACATCTTGGTCAACAAAGAGACATCTTTACCAACAAAGAAAGATACATCTTGGTCAACAAAGAGACATCTTTACCAACAAAGAAAGATACATCTTGGTCAACAAAGGTAAATCTTTACCAACAAAGAAAGATACATCTTGGTCAACAAAGGTAAATCTTTACCAACAAAGAAAGATACATCTTGGTCAACAAAGAGACATCTTTACCAACAAAGAAAGATACATCTTGGTCAACAAATATCCATCTGTACCAACAAAGAAAGATACATCTTGGTCAACAAAGAGACATCTTTACCAACAAAGAAAGATACATCTTGGTCAACAAAGAGACATCTTTACCAACAAAGAAAGATACATCTTGGTCAACAAAGAGACATCTTTACCAACAAAGAAAGATACATCTTGGTCAACAAAGGTAAATCTTTACCAACAAAGAAAGATACATCTTGGTCAACAAAGAGACATCTTTACTAACAAAGAAAGATACATCTTGGTCAACAAATATCCATCTGTACCAACAAAGAAAGATACATCTTGGTCAACAAAGAGACATCTTTACCAACAAAGAAATATACATCTTGGTCAACATAGATACATCTTGGTCAACAAAGAGACATCTTTACCAACAAAGAAAGATACATCTTGGTCAACAAAGAGACATCTTTACCAACAAAGAAAGATACATCTTGGTCAACAAAGGTAAATCTTTACCAACAAAGAAAGATACATCTTGGTCAACAAAGGTAAATCTTTACCAACAAAGAAAGATACATCTTGGTCAACAAAGAGACATCTTTACCAACAAAGAAAGGTACATCTTGGTCAACAAATATCCATCTGTACCAACAAAGAAAGATACATCTTGGTCAACAAAGAGACATCTTTACCAACAAAGAAATATACATCTTGGTCAACATAGATACATCTTGGTCAACAAAGAGACATCTTTACCAACAAAGAAAGATACATCTTGGTCAACAAAGAGACATCTTTACCAACAAAGAAAGATACATCTTGGTCAACAAAGGTAAATCTTTACCAACAAAGAAAGATACATCTTGGTCAACAAAGGTAAATCTTTACCAACAAAGAAAGATACATCTTGGTCAACAAAGAGACATCTTTACCAACAAAGAAAGGTACATCTTGGTCAACAAATATCCATCTGTACCAACAAAGAAAGATACATCTTGGTCAACAAAGGTAAATCTTTACCAACAAAGAAAGATACATCTTGGTCAACAAAGGTAAATCTTTACCAACAAAGAAAGATACATCTTGGTCAACAAAGAGACATCTTTACCAACAAAGAAAGATACATCTTGGTCAACAAATATCCATCTGTACCAACAAAGAAAGATACATCTTGGTCAACAAAGGTAAATCTTTACCAACAAAGAAAGATACATCTTGGTCAACAAAGGTAAATCTTTACCAACAAAGAAAGATACATCTTGGGCAACAAAGAAAGATACATCTTGGGTAACAAAGGTAAATCTTTACCAACAAAGAAAGATACATCTTGGTCAACAAAGGTAAATCTTTACCAACAAAGAAAGATACATCTTGGGCAACAAAGAAAGATACATCTTGGGCAACAAAGGTAAATCTTTACCAACAAAGAAAGATACATCTTGGTCAACAAAGGTAAATCTTTACCAACAAAGAAAGATACATCTTGGTCAACAAAGAGACATCTTTACCAACAAAGAAAGATACATCTTGGTCAACAAAGGTAAATCTTTACCAATAAAGAAAGATACATCTTGGTCAACAAAGAGACATCTTTACCAACAAAGAAAGATACATCTTGGTCAACAAATATCCATCTGTACCAACAAAGAAAGATACATCTTGGTCAACAAAGAGACATCTTTACCAACAAAGAAAGATACATCTTGGTCAACAAAGAGACATCTTTACCAACAAAGAAAGATACATCTTGGTCAACAAAGAGACATCTTTACCAACAAAGAAAGATACATCTTGGTCAACAAAGAGACATCTTTACCAACAAAGAAAGATACATCTTGGTCAACAAAGAGACATCTTTACCAACAAAGAAAGATACATCTTGGTCAACATGGATACATATGGGTCAACAAAGAGACATCTTTACCAACAAAGAAAGATCCATCTTGGTCAACAAAGGTAAATCTTTACCAACAAAGAAAGATACATCTTGGTCAACAAAGAGACATCTTTACCAACAAAGAAAGATACATCTTGGTCAACAAAGGTAAATCTTTACCAACAAAGAAAGATACATCTTGGTCAACAAAGAGACATCTTTACCAACAAAGAAAGATACATCTTGGTCAACATGGATACATCTTGGTCAACAAAGAGACATCTTTACCAACAAAGAAATATACATCTTAGTCAACATAGATACAATTTGACCAACAAAGAAAGATATATCTTGGTCAACATAGAATCGCAGTTAACCAGTCTGCATCTTGGTCAACAAACATAAAAGATACGTCTTAGCCAACAGAGATAACACTTGAGCTCACGAGTCTTGACCCCAAGAGATACATTTCAACTTCATTTCAACATTTGAAGGGTGGGGATGGGAAAGTGGGGGGGGGGGGATGATGGGAGGGTGGGGACTGGATGGGGGGGATGAGGGGAGGGTGGGGACTGGATGGGGGGGATGAGGGGAGGGTGGGGACGGGATGGGGGGGATGAGGGAAGGTGGGGACGGGATGGGGGGATGAGGGGAGGGTGGGGACGGGATGGGATGGGGGGGATGAGGGGAGGGTGGGGACGGGATGGGGGGATGAGGGGAGGGTGGGGACGGGATGGGGGGGGGATGAGGGGAGGGTGGGGACGGGATGGGGGGAGGGTGGGGATGGGGGGAAGGTGGGGACGGGATGAGGGAAGGGTGGGGATGGGGGGAAGGTGGGGACGGGAAAGGGGGGGGGATGAGGGGAGGGACGGGAATGGGGGTGGGGGGATGAGGGGAGGGACGGGAATGGGGGTGGGGGGATGAGGGGAGGGACGGGAAAGGGGGCGGGGGGATGAGGGGAGGGACGGGAAAGGGGGCGGGGGGATGAGGGGAGGGACGGGAAAGGGGGCGGGGGGATGAGGGGAGGGACGGGAAAGGGGGCGGGGGGATGAGGGGAGGGACGGGAAAGGGGGCGGGGGGATGAGGGGAGGGACGGGAAAGGGGGCGGGGGGATGAGGGGGGGGACGGGAAAGGGGGCGGGGGGATGAGGGGAGGGACGGGAAAGGGGCGGGGGGATGAGGGGAGGGACGGGAAAGGGGGCGGGGGGATGAGGGGAGGGACGGGAAAGGGGGCGGGGGGATGAGGGGAGGGACGGGAAAGGGGGCGGGGGGATGAGGGGAGGGACGGGAAAGGGGGCGGGGGGATGAGGGGAGGGACGGGAAAGGGGGCGGGGGGATGAGGGGAGGGACGGGAAAGGGGGCGGGGGGATGAGGGGAGGGACGGGAAAGGGGGCGGGGGGATGAGGGGAGGGACGGGAAAGGGGGCGGGGGGATGAGGGGAGGGACGGGAAAGGGGGGGGGGGATGAGGGAAAGGGGGGGGGGGTGGGGGGATGAGGGGAAGGGGGGGGGATGAGGGAAAGGGAGGGATGGGGGGATGAGGGGAGGGACGGGAAAGGGGGGAGGAGGGATGAGGGGAGGGACGGGAAAGGGGGGAGGAGGGACGGGAAAGGGGGGAGGAGGGACGGGAAGGGGGGATGAGTGATGAGGGGAGGGACGGGAATGGGAAGGATGAGGGGAGGGACGGGAAAAGGGGGAATGGGGGGGGGATGAGGGGAGGGACGGGAAGGGGGGGATGAGGGGAGGGACGGGAAAAGGGGGGAATGAGGGGAGGGACGGGAAAGGGGGGATGAGGGGGGGACGGGAAAGGGGGGGATGAGGGGGGAGGGACGGGAAAAGGGGGGATGAGGGGAGGGACGGGAAAGGGGGGGTGAGGGGAGGACGGGAAAAAGGGGGGGATGAGGGGAGGGACGGGAAAGGGGGGGGGGGATGATATATTGGATTACAGTTACTAAGTCCGAATTGTAAATTGTATACTTGCTACTATCTATACCTTTACCTCATGCAAGTATCCATCCCATGTCATACTGAGGCTTAATCAATCGATATTCGTCAGTTTTAATTTGTTTTTCTGTAGGGTAATTCGTAGGCTAATACACAACAAAAAGCACTAGTAGAGTAGTATAGGTTTATATTAAAGATGCTCAAATTTTACTCGATATAAAGTATAAACATAGGCATGTCTTCTGTAAAATGGAAACAATGGAAAGTTTTCAATAAATATTAATAGTTATTTACTGAACACATATACAAATTTCTTAGTATAAATCACAAGAAAAAAAAACATTAAAGTGTACTACCATGCGGGCGGACTAATTGTTCTTAAAGCTCTATTGTTGTCGACTGTAATCCGCCTGAGAAAAGGGTTTGACCCATACACTGGCCTGCTTTGACTAGCCTCCCCACCCGGCACGCTCCTGATGTACAGGGCGTGGCCGGGCTGGAGGATCATCTGGCTCAATCCAGGCTGCCCGCCTGAGTTCCACGGAGGCTGGACCTGCTTCTGCCGGCTAACCGTATTCATCTGGACCTGCTTCTGCCGGCTAACCGTATTCATCAGCATCGCCTTGTCTTCTTGTACCGGCAGCAAGGCGCGCTTGATGCTCACCATCTCCTCTCTCTGCTCTCGGAGCTGCTTCTCTAGACGTTCGCAGTCGTCTTGGAGTTTGTTGCTACTATGGATGACACTGGGCCGAACAAACATCTCAATGTTGATATCATCCGCCAGCAAGTTCTTTTGATAACACAATGTCGCCAGTTTTCTTTCGTTCAGAAATCGATTTAATTTGTTTGATTCGAAACGAAATTTCAGTTTGTGAAATTCTTTTAGGTCTTTACTTTTCACAATGTCAGACAACTGGGCGGCAAAACTGTCTCTTTCTTTGTTTAACTTGGCTAGTTTCTTCTGCTGTTTCTCAATACGTGCGTCAATGTTGAACGCCTTGAAAGTCAAAACTTCGGACCTTTGCTCTTTCTCCATCAAACGATTCAACTCGTTCGTCTCTCGCTCCAGCTTCATCTCGCCGCGAGTGATGTCTTGCTGAAGGACATCTAGCCTTTGCATCAACTTTTTCTCTATCTCCGCCAACTTCTCCAGTTTGACTGTCACGTCTTTTGTTCTCTTGTCGTCAAGTTCTAGCCAACGCCTCGCCAACCAGGCCGCCTTCTTCAGCTTGACCAGAATATCTGGAACCAAACGTATCAAGTTTTCAGTGCCAAAATCCATCTCCAAATGTTCGACCATTTTTCGACTTTCCTCACTGTACAAATCGGGGTCGATTTCATCCTCTTCTTCCAGCAAGTAGTCCAGTTGCTCTTTCACGAAGGACAGTCTCTGCGCCACTTTATCTGTTTCTGTCGTATCATAAATAGATTTTATGTCTCGATATTCTTTACTTAGCTGCAGTAAGGAAGCTTTGGCCTGTTGCCTCATTCGTCTCATCTCGGCCAGACTGTCGCTTTCATCGTCGCCATCTTGATCTGCATCGAAGACACCTTGGTTGTCACTTCCGGAAAACTGGCTCAGTTTTGAAAAAGCAGACGATAAGGAATTTGACCTGCCTTTAGACACATTAGAATCATAGTCATGAAAGTATTTAAATAGCGGCATAAAAATTTTCTCTTCAAAATTTACAAATAGCTCCTGAAGGTAATCCATGAAGTCAAAAAACCAGATAAAATACTGCACACTTTTGGTCGCCATGGAAACCTCGGAACTCCCTGCGAAGTATAGTGTACCGTCTTGTCGTAGAGTAGCTCTTCTGAGGAGCTGCTGGACTGTAGCGCGTAGCTTGGATACGGTGAAGATGGGGAGCTCCCTCTTCAACGCCTCCTCTACGTCGAGCTCGGCAAAGGGGTCGAGTTGGGTCGGAGAGGTGTTGTCGTGACCTTTCGATGGCTTTGGGTGGTGCGGGGTCTTCGGCTTCGGCTTCAACACCGAGAGCGACGTGACGATCTTGAGACATGAGAGCGTCAAGTCCGGCTTGTAGTGATCGAAGCAGAGGAGGACTTTCTGCTGGAAGGCGCTGACGAGTTTGTGCATCACTTCGCTTCTTTCGCTCTCATCTAAAACCATCAATCGCATCTGTATGAGAATAACAGAAAATCTTAAATTATTTATTTTAACCGTAATTAAGTAATTACTCTTTCGAATCTCACGTTTCTTGTGTAAGAAGAATTAGAGTTCACCTGTTTTTGTGGCATCGGCATATGAAGGGATTATGTGTCATAACCATGCACAGCCGCCTTTACTTTCCATTTACTTTTTATTTCTTAGTCCATAAAAATATTTTATTTACTTGTGAAATAAAGGTCTTGTTTACATCAACTTTTTATTAGCATAGAAAAAAGATATATAGTCTGCACCTACAACCAAAGCATACTATATAGGACGCTACTCTATTATACAACTAGTTGTGTTCTTAAATATTTTAAAAAATAAAAGGTATCAAACATTTTACGTCATGATGTTGCACTAACCGGTGCATAAAAATTGTATGATATCATAGTGAGATGTCAAAACACTTCAGTATGAGATGTCAAAACACTTCAATATAATGTCATATTAAGATGTCAAAACACTTACTTCAGTATGATGTCATATTAAGATGTCAAAACACTTCAGTATGATGTCATATTAAGATGTCAAAACACTTCAGTATGATGTCATATTAAGATGTCAAAACGCTTCAGTATGATGTCATATTAAGATGTCAAAACACTTCAGTATGATGTCATATTAAGATGTCAAAACACTTCAGTATGATGTCATATTGACATGTCAAAACACTTCATTGTGATGTCATATTTGAGATGTCAAAACACTTCAGTATGAGATGTCAAAACACTTCAGTATGAGATGTCAAAACACTTCAGTATGATGTCATATTGAGATGTCAAAACACTTACTTCAATATGATGTCATATTGAGATGTCAAAACACTTCAGTATGATGTCATATTGACATGTCAAAACACTTACCTCAATTTTATCCCCAGCGGTCTGTGGATCCTGGTACATCGAGTACACGGAACTGGAGAGAGAAAATGTGTTTGTTTCTAACATGTGTGTGCTACAATTTCCACAAAATAGAACATCTGATATAATTCAATCCCACCCCCCTTCCTCTCCACACAGCTTGTTATATTTAAGTATTTGAATGAATCTCACGATCTCTCTTTTTACATGTACATTTATTTATCAGTAAAATCTTTTAAAAAAAAACACTCATTAAAATTATTATAATTTTTTTTATTATTTCTGTTTTGTTTTTAAAACTGAACATTATTCTTGTCAATGTTTGTTTTTCCTTACCTAAACCTAATATGGGTAGATTTTATGACAAAGTATTTTTGTCAAGAGAAGGGGGTTCGTCCAAGGACTTGTGTTATTGTGTGTGTGGGGGGGGGGGTATGTATTGGAATTTGCGAAGATCCTATAAACCACTAGACTTTCAGCCTACTAAGCGTTTCACAAAACCTTTGAATAGATTTCTGAAGCAGACGGTGGGAAATCGATCTCGACGTACAAAAACATATAATTTACAAAACACACTTTATTGTTCCACGACATACTAGAAATGAAAATGTTATCTCAAGAGGGAATATAACCCAGCCCTTAGGTTAGACTGAAACCTACAAGCATTTATATTATGATAAATATTACAGACTTTTCCTATTCGCCTGTTTTATTTAAAGTTTTTATTTCAGGTTACATCCAAAGTTATCGTCAAGTATTAAGCCGAACACTCTACCATCTTCAAAATTTGAAAATGAAATGAATTAAGAAATCTTCAAAATAAACCAATGCTTTAAAATATCTGAAGCGTAAAGCCCAGTTCTAACGTTGTGTTCGTGAAAGTTCTATATTTGAAAAAAAATGAAAGAAATATGAAACGGCCCAGAGCGAAACTCTAGTCTTGGCTAAAAATAAACAGCGCCTTGTAAAATAGCTGGCTTAGTACCAACTACATTCAGGTAAGAAATTCACTATATTGCTACAAGAACCAGCACAATAACCCCCCCACACACACACACACACATCCTTTCCCGTTTTTTCCCCATCGACAGATGCTTTACTCCTACCATATGTCAAGTAGGTTTTCTTTTAAATTTTGTACAGTATTATTCTAAAATTTTATTTTAAAATCTGTCTGCTGTTTTAATTATTTAAATTTTTACCACTTAACACGTTTTCCCAATCATATGGTTCTATTTTGTTTATTCTTATACATTTTTAAAGCCCACATTCCCCCTCCCCACCCTCACCCCTACCCAATTCGCGATAGAAATCTACTATTTTTACCTCCAAGAGTAACTTAACTCGTCTAGATTACAGTTCCCCGTGTTTGCTGCATAAGAAAGCTTGTCTAGATTACAGTATAGCCCGACCGTTTGTTATAGCGAAACAGTATCGCTAGTGCAACCCAAAGCCAGTGGATTAAGGTTGACTATCTTGGTTGAATGGCGCGGGTAAATCATTACCTCCCTTGGTTTTGTCCGACTTATCGCCCTTTTTTTTTTTACTATCTGCTTCTACCCAGAGAAAAAAAAATTATCACGGATTATAGTTTCTTATAATCGCAGTGTTTGTACATATTTAGGTCGACTGTTGGTTGTCTATAGAAAAGGTAAACAAAAAACGAATGTTGTTAGAAATACTGTCAATTCCGGAGCTAAAGGATATATACCGGATGGGAAATAGCGGCAAACACAAAGGGTATGATTGTTGAAACATTCAATTTTACGGGTTTGTCACGTGTCTAGCAGCAGCTATATTAAATAGTGTATCTCACTGGAAAGTTTACCTCCCCCCCCCCCAACCTACCTAAATAAAGCTGTACAAGTGTAAAAAAAATATTTTTATTACCATTGGTTTTTAGATTTATCTGTATTCATTATTTGATGTTTTGAATAGACAGATCAATATACAAAGTACACCATTCTTTTCTTTTATTGAAGTGAAGATTCGTGGTATTTCGTAACGTTACAATAAATAGCCTTGCTACTTTTTTATATAACCTAGAAATAAGCCGAGATTCAAACTAACTTCGTTAAATGCGCTTAATTTAGGTAAATGGAATACTCAATAAAATCACGACAAGCAATACAGACCAGAGTATTTGTCAGTGTTTATAATACTTACCATTTGGTTTTTATATTAATATTTTTATATGAAACTATTATGAAGTGACTTGTTCGATCGCAATGTACAAGAAAAACGTTTAAGCATCTTTAATTATATAGGCCTACCTCAAGTAAATCATTATATTCGCTAGTCTAAAAATAAAAATTATATCTTTGCGTTGTTTGCAAAGAACACTTTAACCGAAGTAGACTTGGGTTTTAGAAGCTTCGCTACATTTCATCAACAGAGTGGCGTCTTGCTACACGTCATATCTTAAATGGCGATTATGTTGCTACATCCATCTAGTGGTTTTAATGAACGTTTGTTATACGTCATTCGTGTGCTTTTGTAAGTTCAGCTGAACATACCTGTTAGGTTTTATGTAAATTTTATTTTAATAATTGATCATATTTCCAACTCAACTTATCATTGACTTTTCACCTCGATAAATAGCATTAGGAAGAATTCCACTATTGAGTTTTATATTAGACCTATTTGTCAAGTAATCGGTATGAACTATGATTATGTTCAGCTACCGTTTTTCAAAGGAGTTTGCAGTTATATTTTTTTGTTTCAAATGAAGCTTTATTTAACTTCCTTCAGAAAGGGTTACAATGTGCCATTGTACAAATACAAATAACAACTAACATAAAGACAAGTGTTCTTGGGCACTAGGGGAATAAAAATATGGTAAGCTAACTTTTACCTTTCCAAGCCCCTCGTGATTATTTCAGAAAAATCCAACAGCTTGGCCGACGAAAAGGTATCAAACTTCATTCCAGAAATCCTAAGGCTTAGCCAACGAAGAGATATCAAACTTCATTCCAGAAAAACTCAGGAGAATGTGACGAAAGTCACAAGCCGCCTCCCCTTTATAGACCTTTTTCCCGTCTTACATCACACGATACGGTGCGTAGTAAATCAGAGGGGGGAGGGGCGGAAACAATACATCAATTTTCTAATGTCAGATCACACAAAGCCTCGGTGCACCGAGTGGTTATTTTTAACGCCTCCGCCAGAAAGCGGTGCGCATTTCTCTCGCTCTCTATTCTATCTAATTTAATCTTCTGCTCAAGTGCCACCATTAAACAGGAGCGATAATCCATCAACTGTGGCACAAAGGACCACTGTAGAAGATATGAAGTTACCCTAAACTCTTTCTTGGGTCAACTTGTTATAAGAGGATTTAATGGCTTGTATGTATTTTATTTCACTCTCCTCAAAAACTCTAAACGCAATTTGGCTATAGCTGTCCCAGTTTGTGATGTCATTATGAGTTGTTCACATAGAGTTGCTTAGTTAGAAAAATACTACGTTGCAGATGTGTGTGTGTGTGCATATATATATATATATATATATATATATATATATATATATATATATATATATATATATATATATATATGCATGTACTTATTGTTATTCGGTTTTTTTAAATTATATTAATTTGAATCACGATTCACTATAGTTAAACAAATAAGTTTCTCATTTTTCAAAACAAGTTCTGTAGAGTAAAAGTTTCAATCTGGTAATAACATTTGTAATAACATTTGGGAACAACCGATTACATTTCACGACAGGTAAAAACATAGGTGTGGGCGGGGCTGGTTGAAAACAAGCATGCACTTTGTCGCGTCATTTTTCATCGCCATTCATAAAATTTTAATATAGCTCTAGAAATAAAAGTGTGATTTTTCTAGTCGAACTAGCACGTATACAATTTCTGGTTCTTGTAACTGATGAGTTTGAATTTTTCGCACTTGATTCTTGAATGGGGAAATGCGCTTTGACGTGGGGATAAGTACATGATCACATACAGATTTGTGTGCTGCCGTCACGGTCAAGTGTGAAAATATAACGTCGGTATTGACAGCATGGCGGCAAAATAGATTAAAAATACGTCAATTGTGGGATAATTGTGGGGCTTTAATGACGTTAATGTAGAGCTATTCATGACCCACCGTACCGCTAGCTCCTGTCATAGAGTGCATGCAATAGTTCAACTTCTGATACAGTGATAACGAAAATACATTGATGTCATGCTGTAAATAAGGTAATTGAAATCAGGTGCGCAGTTTAGTTTTGTAGTTATACGTTGTTGTTGTTGTTTTTTTATTACTGTTTGCGTGTCAGTAAATGACTAATTAAATGAATAATTTGCTAGGACTTTAAGAGTCTCGAGTTTGTTTTTATAACGGCACTGAAAAAGTCAGAGAGTGAGAAAAAGCAAAACGTCCAGCGATTCGAATTCAACATTATTAAGAGGGCAAATAGTTTCGAATTAAGAGTATAAATTAATTTAAAATATGTTTTTGTTTCTTATTTATCCAAATATATAGCATTTAATTAAATTAAGTACATGTACACACTTTAATAAACTACTTATCTAATAACAGTGGAGAAACATGTGACCCAAAAAATATATAAATTGGATGCATGTTAAGTAACATCACTGTTTCAGTATTCTTATAAAGGAAAGCATTTACTCATTTCCGCCTCCCACCAACCTGTCCTTGTTACAAGACCTCAATCCAGCACAAATTCAATCTCCCGCCTAACCAACGTCGATCTACGAATCGACCCCCCCCCCCCCCCCCCCCACCAAACATTATCCTAGACTTGACCCTTAACAAAATTGTCAGAAAATAGTCTTTTTACGAAGACTGGGCTTGTTGTCTAAATCCTCTACCATATTCTCAATTAAGAACGAAGAAGAAAAGTAGTCTTTTTAAATATGTTTAACATGACGCTATTTTGTTGTTTTTTTTACAAGCTTTTATTTAACTCACTTCCTCTGTCGCCAGTCTGTCGACAGTCTGTCGACAGTCTATCTGTCGTCAGTCTAGATCGAAACGCAGGAGTGAAAATTCGGAAACTTCTACTTGACCGATACGATTCACATTTGGCACGTGGGTCAAGACATGAAGACAATGCAATCTTAAACTAAATTTGACTTAATTGGATGCCTAATTAATTTTTTATGAATTAATTAAAATTTGGACCGAATCAATAGGCATGTCTATCCAACCACACCACACGCGTCATCACGTTCAATCGCTGCGCCATCACCTTCAGTAGGCGCGCCATCACGTTCGATAGACGCGCAATGGTTTTTAGTCATGTAACACTATTGTAAATAAAACATGTAAAGTACTGAAAAAAAAATTCATAAAAAACGTTTTAATAACAAGCTTTTATGTAATGATGCACTAAAAAGTAGAAAATAAATTATACACTACTATTTAAATTACTATTAAGAAAAGCGTGGGTCTCTTCTCAAATATTAGTAAAGGTATCCAATAGGTACTAAAGTACTAAAGTGACCCACGCTTTTCTTAATAGTAATTTAAATAGTAGTGTATAATTTATTTTCTACTTTTTAGTGCATCATTACATAAAAGCTTGTTATTAAAACGTTTTTTATGAATTTTTTTTTAATTCTCCGGTACCTATCGCTGTCACAGACACTTGTCCACTAGTATCTTCAAACACCTCCCTTTACCAGCCTTCTACAAGATGGAACGACATATTTAATCAGATACAAGCGATATAATGCGATTCAATACACTAATCCAAAATAAAATTTGGGAATAGAACAAAGACTGGCGGAACAAAAAAAAAGTGCATATATAGCCGCTATTGAATATTACAAATTCAAAATAAAATCGTAAAACTTGTGGTTTTGCACCGTCCACGGCTTGATAACGATACGTGCCAAACAAGCGTCTTGATTTCAGTTCGGTACATGTATACGGACCCTGGATTTTTTTTTATAGATAGGTACATATACACTATCACATAATGTTTACATGGTTTATACTTTAATAAACACCATGATCGCGATTACAACCTCATTTTATTTCACTGAGTCACGTTTATCTCTAACCCTTATCATTGTAACCTAAATCCCTAATCACACTTAACTATAAACGTAATTACTCCGGTCTATACGTACGTTCTAACCCTAATCGCCCTTTCCCCTTAATTCAATCGCAAGTAACTATAACCATAATTACGCTTACATCTACTCTGATTTATACGTATTTCTAACGGTAATTACTTACACCTCTTACGTCTAGTCACCAGACCTCTTCTCACGCTTACCTTAAATCACAATTACCTCTAATCACAATTACCTCTAATCACGATTACCTCTAATCACGATTACCTCTAATCACGATTACCTCTAATAGCGATTACCTCTAATAGCGATTACCTCTAGTCACGCTTACCTCTTCTGGAGTCGAGACTCCACCTGCATCATGGAGCTCGCGGTGCCGGGGTCGTGACTGACCACCATGTCAATGTCGCTGACGATGCCATCCACCGGCCCGACAGCTGGGACGTCCCCCCTCACGGCAGGCAGTACAGAGAGCCGCCCGTGGCTGACTGGCACTGGGAGGTTTCCAAAGGGCGAGGCCTCCACGGGATTCGTCCCAAACGGCGTTGGGACACCGCCAGGCCTCGTCACCACACTGTACTTTTTTCGTCGGGTTGTCATTTTTTTTTACCCCGTCATTATTGTACCCTGTTATATTTTGTTATAGGAATTGTGGTCTTATCAGTGTCTGTGGAGTTGATACGTCACATTTCTCGTTCTCAGAGGTTGTAAATTATCTTATCAACGCCATGCCGGGACACACGCCGTAGGCACAAAGTCTTTATCCTGAGATCAATGCATGTTTGAAAAAGTTCAAAAAAACGTGATGCCTGCTCTATCTTGATCTAGATGTTTACTTTTCCAGTCAACAGCTTACATGCCAATCTCTAATTCTCTTTGCTGCTTAGACAACACCACAATCTGAAAATAAGTAATTGTTGATATCTAAATGCTTCTTTCAAAAATCTTAAATAGGTCACCATTACAAACTGTCTAGATACAGCTAATGAATACCAACCATTTTATTATTTTAGGACACATACATTTTAATTGTGAGAAAACAGTGAAATCTAGAATACTGGGTTTCTAAAATATTTAACTAATGTAATTTCATCAATCAGCGGAAGATTTACAACCAGACTGTACGCGATCTCATGAAACCTTTGAGTCGACCGATTCTATACTACTCTTCAGTCAGATACAAACACCACTCTAGCATGCATTGAACTGATACCATCTAATGTATACCTGATTTACAGCTGTTACCATCTTATGCCTAGCATGCATTGAACTGATACCATCGAATGTCTTGCTGACTTCAACAGTTACCATCGTATGCCTAGCATGCATTGAACTGATACCATCTAATGTCTACCTGACTTACAACAGTTACTAGTTAATGCTGAGGCGTAGCGAGGGGGCGGGGGGGGGGACATATGTCCCCGGGCGCCGACCTTAGGGGGGGTGCCAAAATGGGTTGGAAAAACAAATTGAAAGGGGGGGGGTGCAAATCAAAAGTTCGAGGGGGGGTGCAAATCGCCGGGAAAGGTCGCTACGCCTCTGAGTTAATGTCTACCTGACTTATGACTGTTACCATCTTATGGTTATTTATTTTATGTATCTCTGACTTGCAACCGTACCATTTTATGACTAGCTGACTTGCAACTGTTACAACTTGATTTTTTGCTGACTTTGAGTTGCTGCTGCTGTTCATGACTTGCTAAACTGCGGCTGTTAATATTATGAATTATAATACGGAGATTTATTTTTATTAATGCATGTCTACGTGGTAAATCAGGCCATCCACGTGGAACACGTTTCTTTTGATTCCGATGTGATGGTTGTCATAGCTAGTGCATAAAACAAACAAAGACAATCTGAAGTGGCTTCTGTTATTGTCTATTTTAGGCCACACAAATCACCAAACAAACTCTTCATATTGCCGGCCTGTAAAGTTTGCTTTTTTTTACAATATATTTATTGTCGGTTGAAGAGTAATAAATTGTAGCCAATAGTACCTGAATCAAGCGCTATACAACGCAGCCCTATATGTCCATGGGTAATAAAATTCCACCCACATGCCCGGTAAGGGAACCTCCCAGCCCAGAACATGGAGAGACACCAGCCCGCGGACATTTTGAAGCACGTCTTTTATTTCTTATGGCAATAAATAGAAACAGCCAGGTATATGACCATAAATTACAGTGTAGTAAGCATCGCCGTACGGCGTACTGGATAATATCAAATTATATTGCTTGTCTTATTTAGACTATCCCCTTCCCCCCCCCTACCCCACTTCATCTTGTATCTGTGGACACCTGGTTTAACAAATGCTATTGACAGAAATATCAGTTTAAATAAATTATAACTAGGTAGTATCGGAACAGTGCAGATATCGTCGTCAGTGGTATCGTAGTGTACAAACGTTGTCGCCAGTGGTATCGGAATGTACAAACGTTGTCATCATTGGTACCGCAATGTACAAACGTTGTCGTCAGTGGTATTCTAATGTACAAACGTTGTCGTCAGTGGTATTCTAATGTACTAACGTTGTCGTCAGTGGTATCATAGTGTACAAACGTTGTCGTCAGTGTTATCCTAATGTACAAACGGTGTAGTCAGTGGTATCGTAACAGCACGGACATTGTTTAACAACAAACGAAGGCTTCAAAGAAAATTCCTTTTTTTTTTTAATACGGCGCCTGTCATTCTGGAAACCGATCGATCGACAACAGAGATCCAAAAAAAATCGCTTTTAGTACGGCTAAACGACCGAACTGAAGTGTTGAATCACAACTGGATAAATAGTCGGATTTATGTCGTCAAGGTGTGTTCACCAATACAAATTTAAATGACCGGATTGATGAACAGGCAGATAACCGATTTGTTGCCCTGACGTCACTACACTGTATCTGTTTCACTCCCCCATTCAGTTTGTCAATATCTGTCTCCAATCTTTGTTTCCCTCTTGTAGCTATGACACTCGGGTCTTGGGTTTCTGAAGGAGCAGATAACATTTCGTGATGCCCCGTGACGTCACCGACGCCTCTTCTTAAGTATTGTAAACACGAGAGATACAAACCCAATTATAAAATCATTAATCTTGTGGTCCTTATCTTGAAAACTTGTCGAGGGCAAGAAATCCCAGAGCTCGTTTTGACAGTTCCAGAATCGAACTATAAAAGCACAAGCACTTTAACAATATATGATGAATGATCGCTGATCGACGATGATTTCAATAGGCAGGACAAATTAAACTCTCTCACATGTCAACATCAAAAACTAGACAATTCCAATCAACTGTCCGGTTGCCCGTCACGATAAAAGCATACACATATCATCAATACGAAATACCTACACTCTATGACTTACAAAAACTCATATTCCACGAGACGAACACACTTGGTCATTCAGCTACCAACTGTCAGTTGACATACACGTATCGACGACACCAGGAGACCAACCCAAGACACTGTTTATTTTTTCAATAACCTCAATCTATAACCCATTAGCCCAATTGAACCAGTTGGAGCGGTCGCTACACGCGTTCTATTTTGGAACGTTATTTTTTTAAACCAATTCATGGGCTTGCTTGCCTATAGAAAAGCCAAATACAAAATATGAATATGGTTACAGTGGTGGCGGGGGCTTGTGGGGTAGATTTTACAAGGACGCAATATCTAATGGAGTGTCAAAGATTTGTATTAATATTAAATCCTGTTTAGTCCTCTGTTACATAACATAGCAAACTATATGACTCACGACGATTTTGTAAAGATCCGTGTATATATATATATATATATATATATATATATATATATATATATATATATATATATATATATATATATATATATATATATATACATTTATATATATATACACCTCTCTCTCTCTATATATATATATATATATATTTATATATATATACATTATATATATATGTGTGTATATACACCTATATATATATATATATATATATATATATATATATATATTTATATATATTATATATATATATATTTGTGTGTGTATATACACCTATATATATATATATATATATATATATATATATATATATATATATATATATATATATATATATATTCGTCTTCCTTGAGTATACTAAGAAGTAGACTAGGTAAAGTAAATAGCTTTCTTTAATTTATTGAGTTATCGATTTCTTATCAGCAAACAGTAATTTCCTATTTGAGACTGGGCGGCACTAGATAAGCTATGCTGCAGGTAGGGTACTGCATGATCCACCCCACAGCCTGTGTCAATAGCAGAAGCCTTCCACTTGTGTGTGTGTGTGTGTGTGTGTGTGTGTGTGTGTGTGTGTGTGTGTGTGTGTGCGTGTGTCAATAACGCAACCATATACTTTGTATGTCAATAACTTAGCTTTGTACTGTGTGTGTCAGGTCTTATACTGTGTATGTTCAGAAGTTGGCGATACCTAAGCCCTATACTTCGTATGTAAAAAATTCAGCTTTTCACTGTGTATGTGTGTCGATCATTCAGTTTATACTAAGTCAGCCTGATGACAAATATAAATCCCACCAATAAAGCTTTTTTACTAGACTCTGTGTCTGTCTGTGTGGATAGACGGGCTTGAGGACGTCCCTTCAGTACCGCGAACCTTTCCATGACACTGTCCCTTCCATGCAAATCACTTCCCTGCCCTGTCTTGTCTATGCCAGTCATTTGGTTCAGTCCCTTCCATGCAAATCACTTCCCTGCCCTGCCTTGTCTATACCACAGTCATTTGGTTCAGTCCTTTCCATGCTTTGCATATACCACAATCTCGTCCCTGCCTCGTAACCATTCCGCGCTTGTCTTATTCCACAGTCCCTTCCGTGTCTCCCCACCTACATGCCAGCCCACCCAAAATGTCCATGTTATGTACCCCATATGTGTTAACAATTTCCATATATTTAGGACTTGTATTGGGCTACTTCATCAGCTCTTACAAACTGTCCATGTATTTTAACAACCCTTTAGGTGTCACCATAAGGCTTCGAAACCCGTTTTCAATTAAATGCTCCAATTTCTTTCAACAATAGCAAATCTCTTAATGAGTTACCTATTCGCACTAGAAATGATGGCATCCTTATTTGTATTACTCCGACCTCTTTCAATTCATACTTTTATTTTAAAATAACATACTAAAACTTGAGAGTTATAATGTTAGCAATTTAGATCTTGAATGTATTTATTTTCAATTGCCCAAACAGAACCCCGCCACCCCCACCCCCACCGCAACCTCCATAAACCTAGCTATAAAGACGGAGGACAAAACAACTGTTAGCTCGATAGCGACATTGTATACTCTAACTGTAGTAAAGTGTGTCACACTCAAGGGTTACTCGTCTATCTAAAGGAGTGAAGATTATTTCCTTGTGAGACTGATGTACTTAAAATCTAATTTTAGATTTACAATGCTGTATTTTTTATAGAATGATGGAATAGAAGACGTTCTACACATTTTGGGTTTTGAATGTGTCATGGAATGTGATACCCATCGGATGAAAGGGCTATATTAATTATGTTAATTTCCAAATTTAAACCATGTTTAATAATGTGACCTCTTAGAGTCAATGGGTGTGTGGTCGGAGGGAGGATGACTGAGCATAATATACAGCACAGGAGAAACTAGAAAATGGAAACTCTACTCTCAGCATACATTAAATGCAATCTAGCATGTAATCAACATGATTGAGACGTAATATTAGAACCACTAAACAGAGCTAAAATGTACACCTGATTTAGACCCCTTCCATGCCTCGGTCTCTTCCATGCCTCAGTCCCTTCCATGCCTCAGTCCCTTCCATGCCTCAGTCCCTTCCATGCCTCAGTCCCTTCCATGCCTCAGTCCCTTACATGCCTCAGTCCCTTCCATGCCTCAGTCCCTTACATGCCTCAGTCCCTTCCATGCCTCAAACCGTTCCATGCCTCGGTCCTTTCCATATCTCAGTCCCTTCCATATCTCAGTCCCTTCCATGCCTCTGTCCCTTCCATGCCTCGGTCCCTTCCATGCCTCAGTTCCTTCCATGCCTCAGTCCCTTCCATGCCTCAGTCCCTTCCATGCCTCAGTCCCTTCCATGCCTCACTCCCTTCCATGCCTCAGTCCCTTCCATGCCTCAGTCCCTTCCATGCCTCAGTCCCTTCCATGCCTCAGTCCCTTCCATGCCTCAGTCCCCTCCAAGCCTCAGTCCCTTCCATGCCTCAGTCCCTTCCATGCCTAAGTCCCTTCCATGCCTCAGTCCCCTCCATGCCTCAGTCCCTTCCATGCCTCAGTCCCTTCCATGCCTCAGTCCCTTCCATGCCTCAGTCCCTTCCATGCCTTAGTCCCTTCCATGCCTCAGTCCCTTCCATGCCTCATTCTTTTCAACGTCATAGTATTTTCCATTCCTACGACACATCTATCTAGTTCATATGCCACAGTCTTCTCATGTTGTGCCAATCTACCCTTCATGTTGAACGCCAAATATTCATTACAACATGAATATACAGCAAGCCTTTAACAATCGCAACAATTCCATTGAACGGGTTAAGGTGTTTTTGTACTAGTCTGTTTAAGGTTGCGTTGATTGCTGTTTTATTTTATGTTTATATACGATTGTTGATTTACAAAATGTGATAGATGTAGTTCACTGAAATGTGATGTGTGTAATTCAGTTGAAAGTTATTTAAATGTTATACAACTGGTTTACTGAAATTTGATGTATGTATTCACTTTAACGCCGTCGACTTAGTTCAGTGAAATGTGATAAATATAGTTTACGAGATGATATAGAACTAGAAATAGACCTCGTTTATTTAAACATGTTTAATAAACACGTGTATGCACTTGTCACAATTATAATACAATGGCCCAAAAACACTCTTTAAAAATTTAATTTTAAGGCCTTACATTCGCAAAAAATACAAGCACACACACATACAGTCTACCCTCAACAGCCACATTCATTCAACTGTATATTCACATCCGCTTCACCTCACTAGCACAACCACACACAACACAACCACCGAACACTTCTGGTAACTTACAAGACGCTTTCTTTTTCGTAAGGTCTTTAGAAAAAGCAAAGCTTTCAATTGAATGATCTTTTGTACTGGAGGGCATGAATAGGTAAGACGATAGTAATCCCTTCAATATGATATCCTTTCAAAGTTGCACTGTTAAAAGTCAGATCATGTGAAATACAGGATCGCGTTATAAATAGAAAGCAGAGTGCATTAATAGGTTTAAAACTCGTACCTGTTCATTGAAATTGAAATCTTAAAACAAAAACTTGAATTCCTGACTTTTAAAATTCTTTCAAATGACAATATGGATGAAGAATTTAATTCACATAGCGGTATCATAACTCCCTCAACAACTATGGTGCAATACAGACATTCGTGATGGTGACTTGCTACAACAAGTAGATCTTTGCAACAACATTAACATGATGGGAGATCTTTGCAAAGATACTAACTTGATGGTAGACGGTTGCAAGCATGTTAGTAACATGGTGGATCGTTACAAAAGAAATGTTAACGTGATGGTTTATCATTAAAACTTTGAAACCCTTTCATCCAGCTGCCATTATCTTAAGTCGATCAGTGAATATCTACCGATTTGTTAACATGATGGGTGAATCACAGCCATGTTAACATGATGGATGAATCACAGAAATTATGTATACACGATGGGTGAATCACAGCTATTTTATTAACACGTTGGGTAAATCACAGCCATTATGTTAACATGAATCACAGAAATTATGTATACACGATGGATGAATCACAGCCATTTCGTTAACACGATGGGTGAATAACAGTCTTTCTGTTATCACTATGGTGGATCGCTTAAACTCCACGGATGATCAACAACTAAAAACATTAACTTGCCTTTACAATTGTACAGTATATTCCCAATTTTGGAAGAAACATTATGTGAACAAAATCGAAGCAAAAATGGCACAGATTTATTGATTTTTATAAGACACAAAATGATCTAAAATAATGTTAGAGCTATGAAAACATTCATCTATTAGCAGATGTTTTACCACAACTGTATGCTACATGAGAATATTTATCTATTGGCAGATTTACATTTCACAAAGATTTAATGAATAGTTGGTTTTTGGCCTGCTCTAAAGCGATGCCAGATTTCATTTTCTTCAAGACCAAATCTAAAAACTTGTCCCACGCCTGATGGTGTGGGGGCGTCCACTCGTTGAGGCTGTACTTACACACGGCACGCGAATAGTCGACCTTGAGGAAATCCAAGTACTCGTCCTTGACGTAGTTGAGGAAGTGAGTCTTGCCATTGTTGCAGCTGAGCTTCGATATTTCGCTGACCTGCTCCAGATGGTCGATGCATTTCTCAAGGAACGTGCCCAGTTTCAGGCCGTGGTCTCGGAGCATGGTGCGTTTCGACATGTCATCGATGTCACTGGCATTCACCTTCATCTTAAAACACTCTGCGATCTCCTTGTGTTGCTCTATCATTCCCATGAACGCCTCCATCCCTATGACTTCCATCTTTCCTGAAACCTCCTGCCAAATGCCGCGTATTAAAAGTTTTTCGTCAGCGCTGAAGTTAATCTCCAATGTCTTTTTGGGTAAACAGCAAAGAATTGACATGGTACAGTTTCTTTTGGCTTGCAAGTAAAATCATTTCTGATTGCTATAGGGTCAAGGGTCACATTATTCTGGGGGAAAATAATTACAGCAATGAAAAATTGCAAATTTACAAACAGAAATTAAACAGCCATTGATAAGTGTAAGGACGAAACAATTTACAAACACTGGAAGCCCCAGAGATACAAAATACAATGCAGTTTTTGGAGCAGTGGCTTATGGAGGGTATATGATTAAACATCTGTGACGGTGAGTTATTGATGTGGAGAGGTGAGGTTGGTTATCGGTGTAGACAGATGAGGTGAGTTATAGATGTGGAGACAGATGAGGTGAGTTGTAGATGTGGAGAGGTGAGGTTGGTTATCGGTGTAGACAGATGAGGTGAGTTATAGATGTGGAGACAGATGAGGTGAGTTGTAGATGTGGAGAGGTGAGGTTGGTTATCGGTGTAGACAGATGAGGTGCGTTATAGATGTGGAGACAGATGAAGTGAGTTATAGATGTGGAGAGGTGAGGTTGGTTATCGGTGTAGACATCTGAGGTAAGTTATAGATGTGGAGAGGTGAGGTTGGCTATCGGTGTAGACAGATGAGGTGAGTTATAGATGTGGAGACAGATGAGGTGAGTTATAGATGTGGAGACAGATGAGGTGAGTTATAGATGTGGAGACAGATGAGGTGAGTTATAGATGTGTAGAGGTGAGGTTGGTTATCGGTGTAGACAGATGAGGTGAGTTATAGATGTGGAGACAGATGAGGTTGGCTATCGGTGTAGACAGATGAGGTGAGTTATAGATGTGGAGAGGTGAGGTTGGTAATCGGTGTAGACAGCTGAGGTGAGTTGTAGATGTGGAGAGGTGAGGTTGGTTATTGGTGTAGACAGATGAGGTGAGTTATAGATGTGGAGAGGTGAGGTTGGTTATCGGTGTGGACAGCTGAGGTGAGTTGAAGATGTGGAGAGGTGAGGTTGGTTATCGGCGTAGACAGATGAGGTAAGTTATAGATGTGGAGAGGTGAGGTTGGTTATCGGTGTAGATAAATGAGGTGAGATAGATGTGGAGAGGTGAGGTTGGTTATCGGTGCAGACAAATGAGGTGAGTTATAATGTGGAGAGGTAAGAAGGTCGGTGATTATGTGAACCACGCCTATTACAATGTCTAAGAGTTATATTAACTTAGACCCTTAATATGTGGTGGTGTGTTTATACTAATATTTTAATGAGTGATTGTTTACCTCATTTATAGCGTATGCTTTTGAATAAAGAATATAATAGGCCTAATTAGTAAAAACTTCATTTTTTTCTATACATTTTAAATAGATCTTGATTCTCAATATAATGAATTTAATCTGCACAGCTTTTAGGCCTAGACAATAAAACATAGTAAAATATTGAGCCTTCGTTTGAGAATTATCTTTCAATCGAACTATTAAAGTTATATAGATCTATAATCCAAAATTACTTTTTATTAGTTCTAGGGTCTAGTATGGATGTAAAATAATAAAAAGCCTTACTAGAATTTACATGTCGTAATCCGAATATTTGTATAGCTACACATTTTATGTGGATATTTGAAAACTAAAAAGTGTGGAGAGGAAGTGTTCTGATAAAAAAAGTGTTCTAAACTTTTAATTATTTCATGAAACAAACTGAAACTATTCACGTTCAAAAAAACCTTCTTTTAATGAAAACCACAATATAAAGTAAATTTTTTTTTAATCGAACATGTTTCATCGTGTGAAAAAAAGTAGATGGTATTGTAGAATGAAATTGTATTCGATGTATTTTATGTTCAAATGTGGTGCGTAAATAGAGCTGCGAAATAAATATTTACTTTGGGCTTTAGCTCTTATGCCTAGCTCAAGAGTAGAGTGTATAGCCAGTATAGAGTTATAGCCAGCTGTACATGATTAGTACTAGCCAACTGGGCAGGTCTAGTTCAAGGTCAAAATCTAGTACTAGCCAACTGGGCAGGTCTAGTTCAAGGTCAAAATCTAGTTCTAGCCAACTGAGCAGGTCTAGTTCAAGGTCAAAATCTAGTTCTAGCCAACTGGGCAGGTCTAGTTCTATGTTAAGTACTATCCAACTGGGCAGGTCTAGTTCTATGTCAAGTACTAGCCATCTAGACTGGTCTAGTTATATGTCTAGTTCTAGCCATCTAGACTGGTCTAGTTCTGTCTAGTTATAGCCAACTTGGCAGGTCTAGTTCTGTCTAGTTATAGCCATCTAGACTGGTCTAGTTCTATGTCTAGTTCTAGCCATCTAGACTGGTCTAGTTCTGTCTAGTTATAGCCAACTTGGCAGGTCTAGTTCTGTCTAGTTATAGCCATCTAGACTGGTCTAGTTCTGTCTAGTTCTAGCCATCTAGACTGGTCTAGTTCTGTCTAGTTATAGCCATTTAGACTGGTCTAGTTCTGTCTAGTTATAGCCATCTAGACTGGTCTAGTTCTGTCTAGTTATAGCCAACTAGGCAGGTCTAGTTGTATGTCAATTACTAGCCAACTGGGCAGGTCTAGCTCTATGTCTAGTTCTAGCCATGTAGACTGGTCTAGTTCTGTCTAGTTATAGCCATGTAGACTGGTCTAGTTCCGTCTAGTTATAGCCATGTAGACTGGTCTAGTTCTGTCTAGTTATAGCCATGTAGACTGGTCTAGTTCTGTCTAGTTATAGCCATGTAGACTGGTCTAGTTCTGTCTAGTTATAGCCATGTAGACTGGTCTAGTTCTGTCTAGTTATAGCCATGTAGACTGGTCTAGTTCTGTCTAGTTATAGCCATGTAGACTGGTCTAGTTCTGTCTAGTTATAGCCATGTAGACTGGTCTATTTCTAGCCAACCAAACAGGTCTGTTTCTACGTTTCATGTTATCAACTGGTCAGGTCCAGGTGTGATTCTAACCAGCTAAATAGGTCTAGGTCTACTTGCAGTCAAATGGACAGGTCTAGAGCCAACTCAAACAGGTTATTTGCTTTCCAGCTGGTTGTCGAATCACTGACAGGATTGATTTAATTATAACTTACAATCCGAAAATCTTGATGCTTCGCTGTCGTAACACCATTTTATCTGGTTTTACTCTCAGTATTACTAGTTCATTTTACTCACATAAATATTGTATGTACGTTCCTTAACAAGTCATTCATTTAAAACATGTCTTAGACACCATGACACAATACACACAAAACATCTCTTAAATGTATGTTTGACCAGAATACATCACTCACATAACACATGTCTTAGATTTATGTTCGACCTGAACACGTCACTTACAGAAAACAAGTCTGAGATGTAGTTATAATCCAAATTAATATTCAGCTATCACTTCTATAAGATTAATTATATCAAGCAAGGTTTAAGATAAAAGTAACCGCCAACACTAAATATCCAACCCAGTCAGCTAACAAATAAGCATTCAAAACATTAATATAAATATAATTCTTTATTTATGGGCAAAAAAAATAATTTGTATCTATAATTAAAATATTTTATAAAACAGTTCAATTTCGTCAATTTTTATTTTGGATACATTAGATGATTTTTAAAAAATCTATTAGCTACCGACCACAAATGTATTTCATTCTCTATTCAGTCCACTACCAGTAAAACGTAATGTAACCACCACAAACAACAAGGATAAAAATCATGTGCACGTTTGTGTATGTTTTGTAGACAATGAGTGTCACAATAGTTACAGCTTTGTGCTCAATTATCCTGCCGGTTTCAGTCCAAATTTTAGACATGGAACTTTGCCTACAAAAAGAAAACTAAAACAACAAAAAATCGCATCCTGCTTGATGCAAGGCACATATTCATTTCATTCGTCAGTGTGTGTGTTAATAATTCATGCTACATATGGTCAAATCTTTCAACGTAACTAAATTGTTGGCAAAGACGAGCACTTGATATACTTTGAAACAAAGCACGACGTCGACCAAGGTAAATTTGACGTTAACGTTTCTTTCCTCTTTTATCATTTGCATTTAATTTACCCTGTCCCCTCTCCTCCAAGACAATCGCGATTTTAATTTTTAAAAGAATGTATTCAAGAAGTTTGTCCCACGCCTCTTCGTGTTCCGGGCTCCAATCAGTTAGGTTCGTGGAGAAGGCGGATAAAACACGTGGTTTGACATAACTCACATACTCCGGTTTGACATGCTTTAAGTAGTGCTTCCACCCCAGGTCAGCGGCCAATGCTTTGATTTTATGCCCGTTATCAATCACTGAAACAATCTCATCTAAAAACTTGAACTGGTGCCGTGCATGGTATTTGAACGCGTGGTTTGCGTCATCGTCCAGTTCTCCTCGCGTCAGCTTGAACGGCTTTCCAATCTCGGGGTAGGTTTTGTAAATGTCTAAAAACACTTCCTTGGATATCGTCTCATAATTTCCCGACAGCTCCGCCCAAGACGTGCGAATCAAACGTTTCTCGTCCGTGGTGAATTGAATTTCTGGTAACTTCACGGGTAAACAACATATCATTTTGTAACCGGGGTCCATGGCTGCAGCTTGTTTTTTTTCTACGGCTTGTCAAATGTAAAATTCTTGACTCTGATAAATAAAATAATATGTTTTTAATTATAGTTTATTGAAATGTTTGAATATAAAAATTACTTTAAAGTAAGAGTAACTAATGAAAAGGGTAAATTATGCCTAGTCAACGTTTTAGTGTGAAGATGTAGGGGCTAGTTAATAACCAGAAACGTAACTAGAAATCACTCAAAAAGTTAACAAACTACCCCCTACATTGTCTGTAGCGATACATCATACCTTAACCCCAAGCATATGTGAAAGTACCGACACCACTATGCGATTGTGTTCGCTCATGCAAGTAATAATCAATACAGAGGTAAGGAGCAGTTTGATGTATTCCCCCTTCCCTATTATACAATGACAATTCCTTAAACTAACACCCAAGACATATCCCTAATACTATATCATTATGATCACATTCACGGTCGTTACTTTATGATATTGCAGTTCAGAATCGTGCGATTGCTTTTCTCTGTGTTGTCGTTGTTAGTGTCAAATAGGGTCATGGTTATGGTCAAGCAGAAGGTCAGTGACAAGGTCATCCGAGGTCAAGGCTAGGATTAGAGCAAGGTTTACTAGCGAAATACTTTGTTAAGTACCTGGAGCAATGACAGTTAGAAGACGTGTGACGTATAAATCGTCACCAATTATTGCTTAACGTATTATTATTTTGGCTAAAAAACTATTTCATGCTGAACTACTTATTTATTCATACGGATAATCATAAAATGAATCAAGATTTTTAAATCGTAGCTGTATGCCAACACATTTAGATTCTCAAGTGTGTACAACATAACAATACACAAATGAGTGACATATGTGACTGTGCCACCAGAGTCTAGATTCTAGATCTAGTTCTAGATCTAGCTAAGATAGATCTCTTCCAACAGGGGTCATCGTATTATAATGTACAGATCTAGACAGTGGCGTAGGCAGGGGGGGGGGGGGTTAGGGGGGGTCATAACCCCCCCCCCATAGACCCCTCGGTATATATAAAAAGTATGAGGGGGGTGCAAATCGAAAGTTTGAGGGGGGGATGCAAATCGAAAGTTTGCGGGGGGGAGTGCAAATCGAAAGTTTGAGGGGGGGGGGTGCAAATCGAAAGTTTGTCCCCGGGTAAAAAATTGGAAACCCCCCCCCCCCCCTTGAGACGATCCTGGCTACGCCACTGGATCTAGATCTAAATGTATAGTTAAAAGAAATTCATCATATGTTTAAATAAGTAAATACAAACAAACTATCTGACTCTTGTCACACTACAATATCACACGGGTTGAAGGAACAAGACTGACTTCAAGCCAGCAGACATAAACAAAGAATTAATCTTTTTTTGTACGTTGCTAACACAAACCAAAAATGCTGTACAATTTCCTGCGCGCTCGTCTGCACGAATTTAACTCCAGTGCTCCACGGTGCTTCAACATACGAATAATTCTGAACGGGATGAGTGCATGGAATATTTTTTTTTTACTTTCGCTTTTTCAATAATATATTATTAAGTTGTCAGAAAAACATTAGCTGTAAATATCAACAAAGATATAAAACAAAGAAAAAAAGTACCTTTGCCCGAATGCCGTTTGCCTGAAGGCCGTTTGTCCGAAGGTCGTTTTTCCGAACAAAAACTTGACCAACTGGGACGAATGCCCGAATGGACACTTGCTCGAATACGTCAAATGCCCGAATGGACACTATTGATATTCTCATCAGTCAGGCTTTGATACTTTTTCAGTAGTTTTGTTTTTAAAAGAAGTAAACAATTGTGATTAATTACGTCAATTTAGAACTGGGTTTTTAGTTTGATAATTTTGAAATTTAAATACTTTAACTTAACTATAGTATTATTGTACTGGACTGTAATTTTGTTTTATTGTAATTTTAAAACTTTGTTTTGCTTATAATTTTTGTTTTAGCTGTTAGTGTTACCAACAGCCCAGAACAAAAATTATTCTACAACAAAAGAATATATCTCTTTCTTTAAATACATCTCAGCATCAAGATTGCTTACTATTACTAGGGCCTTCAAAATAATATATACACCATTTAAATTATATTTGTGCAATTAACGTTACACGTGGGACATCAAGATTACATCTGGATCAGCAAAACGTGGGTCATCAAGGATTTATCTGGACCTTTAAGATTACATCTGGGCCATCAATGATACATCTGGGCCATCAATGATACATCTGGGCCATCAATAGTACATCTGGGTTACACAAAGTATACTGTGTATGCCTCGGCTACGAAAATTATCAAAATCACACCTCCTGAAACAAAAGTATCACCCCTGGGTCTACAAAGTTGACTTTAGTGAACAGTTTGCATGTAACTTCATCACATACAGCATACCTACAGATCGACCAATGGTTAGGCTAATAAGGCTACATCTTCTGCTAGCAAAGCTTCAGTTTGGTCCACAGGCTGCATTATGGTCAAACAAACCAGCAATATCTTGGCGAGAAGGGGCGGGGTGTGAGGTGTCGGGAGAGGACATTACCCAATCGGACATTTACCTTCATTAACCACCCTAACCAGGGCGTGGTTATGGTAACGGTTAAGGATGGTAGGAAAGATATGGATGAGGTTGAACGTGAGGATGAGGGAAATGATTGAGATAAGTATTAGGACAAAGACATGGATATCTACATGGATATGGGCAAGGACTAGTGGTGTCGGGATGGAGTGGGGTAGTCGTGGATGTGGCTGTACCAAGTATTGGGTTGTGGAGATCGCTGAGGTTAAGAGTTTTAGAGGACAATTTAATGGTATTTTTTTTAAAGTAAAATGATTTTTAATTATAAATTTGTCAAACAAATCATTACACATGCAAATGTGTCATTGTTCAAATTGATTTATTTCTGAATGTGAAGTTATATAGAGTGCAATCATGTGTCTATATTCTGTTAACTCTTTTACTTCAGATGTGAATGCTTCTGTATTTTTTGCTGTTGAAGAGCTATACCAGCTTGTATATTATGCACTAAGAAATCAAAGAGTTTTTCCCACGCGAGTCTCGTCTCACGGCTCCATTTCTCGTGGCACCGCTCGGATATGGCAGCGATGAAGCTGTTTACAAGCGTGTTCAGGTACTCGTCGGTAGTGTTGTTGTTCACATGGGAGAAGCCTATCTCCAAAGCGATGCTGGCCACTGCTTCCGGGTTCTCCAGCCTATGGATGCACTTGTTGACAACACTTGTCACTTTGAGACTGTGCGACTTCAGGAGATTGCTCTGTGCTAATTCCTCAAGGCTAGAATCTTTAAATTTCAGAAATGAGTCCTTGGCAAGAGGGTGTGTGCTGAAAAGATTCAAGAAAGATTCCACACCAACGTCCTCAATTTGCTGTGTGATGTCGGCCCAGGTAGTTCGAATCAGAACTTTCTCGCGAGAGCTGAGATTGAGCGCCCGACCGCGTTGTCTTCTCATGCAACATGCTAGAGAGTTAGACATCAATCACTTGCAAATGGTAGCTCATAAGAAGTTTATACGAGAAAATTCATCCAAAGAATTTAAATTATTGTTATTATCCTATTATTATTGACTTTTCTGTCTTATTTTCATTTATTTTTGTAGTTTTTAATTTTGCCTTATAAGGCATGATATAAGTTGAGTAGTTACAAAAAAATCTTAATAATAATACAATAGCGACTTCACCCATTTGAGACGACGATCAACAAAATGATAAATTGGAAAGTCTTCCGGAAGTCCAGGATGTGAATAAAGTTTACATCTTCGCACTGTACCTGCCCACACTAGTGTTTTACGGTGCTGCAGTGGTAGATTTAAATGGTCCCTTTATAATGGACCTAAAATTATATAACGATAGCAACGCGTACCTTCCCCCGATCAAATTTAATAGTTAAAGAAATATTTAATAGGTTTAAATCATTAAGACACTAACTAAATTTATTTTCGTATTTCTTAATTTATTTTTATACGACATGTGCAAAAAATGGGGGAAAGAATCAAAGTTGCGGTGATGTTCCAATGTCTGCTTGAAATTTCGTCTAATAATAGATCCAGTTTTGCGTAATAAAACAGAAGTGTCAAAATTCTGAAATAACCGAAATGTCTATCGAAAACATTGTTGATTCTATAAAGGTTCCTTCTACAACATTGATAGGTATTCTTGTTTTTAGAAGTATCATATCCAGAGGCGTATCGACCCTTCCCGTCGCCCGGGGACAAACTTTCGATTTACACCGCCCCCCCCCCACTCAAACTTTCAATTTGTTTTTCCATTTTGGCGTCGTCGTCCCCCCCCCCCCCCCCCCCCTCGCTACGCCTCTGATCGTATTTTGGTTCCGTTTTGCCAATTTTCTTGTTATTGATCTTTTGCATGATGAAACATAATTAAAAGAGAACATTATGTTCATAAAAATGCCAGGTCCCACTCTAGTATAAACGTATAGATTCTAGTCATGTGTATTCTATTTATACTATTTTAGCCGCATTGTTTTTTTAGACTGAATGACAAATTATTTATAGAGATTAAAGTTAGCGCTAGATCTAAGTGTTTTACTCAAGACTCGAGCGATCCCCTCAGTTATAACAACAAAAACAGCGTCCTACAAAGTGCACTAATTTAAAATTAGCTTTTTATTGTGTTTTATTGACAATATAGTAAAAACCAATTTGAATATATAACAGTAGCAATAATAAAATGTATTAAATAAAGACACAGACCATAGCTTTTTTTAAAGTAATTAAATAACACTTTTTGGGAGTGATCTTTCTTGATTATTTGTATGCAAATAAATAACACTTGCCATTGGTTTGGCAGGTATTTCGACAAACGTAGTTTATGTAAGTATTTTTAGATGATGTATCACGCAAAAGAAACGAGAAACTTGAGTTTACTTCTTTCCTTCTCCATCTCCAGGCTCATCTTTGTCTGAAAGTAGATGAAAAACCGATCCCATGCTTTCTGATATTTTTTATTCCAGCTCACCCGGCTTCGATCCCTGACCATGCTAATAAAACTCAGTCTGATTTGTCTTTGGAACCCTGGAAGAATGTACCGACTTGCGTGGGAGACGCCTTGGGATGCGGCGATTTGGTCCAGCGCTTTCAAGTCGTCTAGCTTCTCTACGCATGCGTCGACGACCTCCGACATAAGCTTGATGTGTGTACAAAACCTCGACATTGCGCTAGAAGTCGTCTCTTGCAATGATATCTGACACAATTCAAGCACAGAACGTGTACCTGAATATCTCTCCCAACCTTCTGTATCAATATCTTTTTTAGCCTCAGACCAAACTTCACGAATGATAGACTTCTGTGATTTTGTGAAATGGCCTTGGTTGGGTTTGATGCTACAACACAACATAATGCATATCAGCTCCACGTAGTTGTCGGAGACTTTTCTTCCATACCTTGGAGTGGCAGCTTCTAAGTGAATGACTAGATAGGTGCGATCTCAGCTAAAAGAATTAAGCAAAAGACATACCCGAAATTATAAGTTTAAACTAATATTCACAGTGATAACATTGTTAATAGCCAATAGCCTATACAATGAATTACCAACTTGCATGCACAAACACACTCATAAGTTTATAGGGCTTGCAAATAAATAAATAAATATTCACACTAGATTTCGACGTCATGTATAATACGATATTTTTTTAATGGTTTTTTTTTAAGTCCATCGGCAGTCTTTTAAAGTACGTCCAATGTTTAGCCATAAAATTTAGTAAAATAATAAAGTTAAAATAAAATTGGGAAACGTTGCTAAACCCAACATTAAAGATAACGAATTACAATTTCAAACTATCGCTCTATTCCGTAAGAGTGTGAAGTTCATTTATTTAAATACGGTGATAAAAAGAAACAAAAAAAAATAATTTTACAATGATGTTTAAATGTCTTGAATCTTTCTCGGCTGAAGAGTTGTATATTCGAGACTGAAATCTGTGACACCTCGCTCTGTTTTTATTCATCTTCACCTCTGTTTTCCTTATAATACATTACGAGACGATAACATTTATACACTAGTTTCAGCTTTCCTACATTAGGAAGCCTTTAAACCCTTAAAAAGGGGGTAAACGATTAAGAAAATGATACCAAAAAGCTTTTTCTCTTTCGTTCAGCCTCCATTTCTGAATCCATTTTTGATTGAATAATATCAAAAAACTGACTCCACGCATGCTGTGTAGCGGAGGTCCACGGTATAGTCGTCCGTGTCCTGATCGCGTTGATATAGCTCTCTTTCAAACACTTTTGGAACTCTGGTATGACGTACCGCCCTGCGTGTCTGGCTCCCTGTTCGGCTGCCACCGTCGCAACGGCATCCATGTCGTCTAACCTTGACACGCACTTGTCTACAATGCTGGTGACCTTTAGACTGTGCTCTTTAAGCTTAACGCTGGTCTTCAGGTCCTTTAACTGCATGTCCTTGAAAACCAGAAAAGAATCCATGGCTTCTGGGTGGGTATTAAAAAACATCAAGAACGTCTCCACACCAACCTCGTCAATTTTCTCTCTGACGTCATTCCACACGTTGCGGATTAAAGTTTTCTGTGCTTTGGTCAGTTTTTTATCTGAGCTTGAGTGTGGGTACTTTTTACAACACATCATTTTTTGTTCATAGCAGCTTTAATATTGAGTTATCTGCCTGCATTTCTTTGTTTTAAATTTAGCTTAATGCGCCTAGCGGAAAAGTTTCAATTCATGGTATCGGCCAGACTCTGTTGTAAGCTAGAAATAAAGAATTACTTTGTGTTTATGTAGAGAAACCTCATTAGTATTACTGCGAAACAATAAACATGTAGGTATTGATATCGATTATTGTGTACTGAGAACAAACGCACAGATTCGAATTAGAATAATAAGATTAAGATTCTATGTCCAATTTTCAAAAAATTGAGTAAGACTCCCACTTGTCTTTATAAAGTCTTAAAATGTTAAAAATCCGCAGTTCCTGAAAGAACGTCACTGAAATTTGGTTTTTCAAAACATGTCATTTAGAGTTATAACTAGAATACATAAATATGGAAAACAACTTTTAAAATTTAAGTTCTGTTAACATTGAAGCCAAAGTTCGATATATTCTATTGATCAAGCCGTATAGTCTGTTATTTCATACAGTTACTTAGGGGTCATCCATAAATGACGTAACGCTTTTTACCGCTATTTACCTCCCCTCCATTACATATCGTCACAAAAAACCAGCCCCCACCCTCTAAAATGACTTCACACCTCAGCCTACAAATCCCCCCCCCCCCCTCTGAATTGCAATTGATTTTTTTTTTTAAATCTTTTTCCCGTTTGAACTCTGTCAACATAGAGTATTTTAATCAATTCCTATTACAATTTATTAAAACAGTTTTCTAAAACGCGAAATATCGGCTAAAATTCGTTTCCCAACATTGCTTTTATATAATGCAAAAGTGTGACGTCACAGCATCTGAACCCCCCCCCCCCCACCCCCAACCCCCTCATCACACACCGTCACAAAATTACGGACCCCCCCTCCCACATACGAGTGTGAGGTCATTTATGGACGACCCCCTTATAGTTCGGTAATAATTATACATAAAAGGACTTAAAATGGTTAGAATTGTGTAGATTGTTCAGGAAACAAACATAATGGCTCATATTTTGCCATCAATATGATGCTGAAATATAATAAACTGTTTAGTCCTGTCGCTTTAGTAATAACAAGATACTTGTTGCACATAAATAGACTCAGGAGCTAGAAACATGGAGTTGGTGTGCCTATTAATGCAGTTGAACATTATGTAAAACGATGAATGTATAATTGACTTCAACGTCCATTTTTAGTGGTTTAAAAACTGACAATCAGAGATAGAATCTTACAATTATAAATTAAATATAGTAAAAAACGTTTCATAGAAAATGTAATGGAATATTAAGTTCACATTTTTTAAAAATAATTATATTTTAAACTAAACCATGTTAAGAGTGTAAATAATTTTTTAAAAGAATGTTTGGTTTATAAGCATAGTTTAGACCAGGGGTTCCCAACCCCGTGCCCGCGGGCGCCATGGCGCCCGCCGAACGATTCTTATGTGCCCGCCTCTCACTATTCGACAGAGACAGAATTTTTTCATTAACATTATTGAAAGGTTGAAGGGGATGGAAATCGAAAGTTTGAGGGGGGGGGGGGCAAATCGAAAATTTGAGGTGGATGCAAATCGAAAATTTGAGGGGGGGGGGGGGGGTGCAAATCGAAAATTTGAGGGGGGGGTGCAAATCGAAAATTTGAGGGGGGGGGGTGCAAATTGAAAATTTGAGGGGGGGGGTGCGGTGCAAATCGAAAGTTTTGTCCCCGGGTGACGGGAAGGGTCGCTACGCCTCTGGAAGGAGTTTGTCGATTTAAGGTGGTGCCCGCCACCCTACCGATATTTTATATTGTGCTCTAGAGTAAAAAAAGGTTGGGAACCCCTGGTTTAGACAAACAAAAGATCAAATTTTCAAAGTCGATTTTCGCTGTTTCACTGGAGGTGGAGATCGAACTCTATTATTATAACATGGCGATTATAACCGTCTAGGAGAGAGGTCCTAGCCGTCAATATAAAACTAGTATACAGAGTATTCAATGGTTAAAAAGCCCGAAGGATTAGGAAGATCAGAGAATCATCTGGTCCCATAATATTTTATTAAGGGAACAGATTTTTATTGTTTTTTTTTTTGTTTTTTTTTGTTTTTAAAACGTAGTGGATATCAACTGCAATCGCTTGTGCTGGACCAGAAACACACGATACTCAAGCATCCGATCATAGGCAGCTATCATCATTCAATGAATATGCCCCGACATACCAAAGCAGTACTCCGAAATTGTGGTCGCAATACACATTTGTGGCACACCATAAAACTATTAAATACAGAAAACAACACACTATAAAAAGCTAAAATAAAACTAACGCAGTACTGGTAAACGATAAAAATTAAAGCTTATGAAACAGGGGAAAAAATTTAAATAGTTTCATGTAAAACGTTGGGGAGGGGTTGCATATGGTACTAAGAAATATGTAATACCCGAAAAAAAAACGACTTTTCCACAATGAAAATATTTTATTGAGATATCTCGTATCGAGCGTTCATAACTTGAACATCCGCATTTGGATACAAAAGTAAAATATCATTTTTAAAATGTGTCCCTCTCATCAGCATCCAGTGCTTTCTTCCACATGTGCCTCCTCTACTCCTCTAAGAGCGCGGCAGATAATTTAATTAGAAGACGAAGGTTGGAGCCCCGATCGTAAAAATAATGAAATTTAGATTACTGAGATAACCACTATTTAGATTAAGATATACTATAACTATAGAAATAAACGCACAATCACTAAGAGCTAAGATATATATATATATATATATATATATATATATATATATATATATATATATATATATATATATATATATATATATATATATATATATATATATATATATATGTACATATACACACACGTATATATATATATATATATATATATATATATATATATATATATATATATATATATATATATATATATATATATATATATATATATATATATATATATATTACGATTGCTATCAGTGTAGGCCTATAACGTATGTTATTGTAATTTTATTATAACCTTTTTCTAACGAATGCGAACCCATTAATTAAATTAACCAAATTGTAGCCCAGATAGCTATTATGGTTATTCTAACTAACGTATTTCTATATTTACCTATGGAAAAGATACGCATAGAAAACTTCCATCTTTGTATTATTCAGAATCTCACAAATGGTTTGTTAACATCCGGTGCGATATAGTTCGAAATAAATGACTTCCCCGTTCGTTAGTTCAAAGGGGCTAATTCTGATACATTTTCCCGAATATGAACTATTTATAATCCAAATAGGCTGATAATTGCAGCAAATATCCAGGGGTGTGGTGTAAATATTGTGTAAGATTTATTTAGCTGAAAAGCTACTCATAAATCTCTTAACTTTCGGAACAGCGCGGTAAGGTGTCATTGAAGTCATTGTCACTTTAAGAACATGTTCATTTTTGTCGAAATCCATTACTCTATAATGTGTCTTGTCATCGACACATCCCATTTTGACTTCTTGTTTCCAAGTAATTGAATTTCTATCCATGCTATTTGCTCAATATTTGACAAGGGCAATACGATTTACGTGTCTATTGTATATACATATATGTAGGCCCCTATGTAATATAGATTCTGGTGGATACAGCTTTTTTCACGTTACCTATGGCCGCCTACACCTGGGTCGCACACATACTATTTTGTGTTCAAAATATTTTTTTTTAATTTGCTGCTTCAATTAACTTTATATCGATATTTGTATGTTTGCATTATTCAAGTACTTACTGAATCTTTCATAAACAAACAATACATCGAATAGGTGTATATCTTTATTAGTCATCGTGCAAAAGAACAGAAACACAGTGACTTACTGCTAAACTACTTCAACACCTGCAACCAAATACAGTTTCAGATCACGTTAGCCTTCTCCAGCTCGTTTTCCTTCAGCATGTAAGATAAACGTTTGATTTCGCCCCCCTTCAACATATTCTCTGAAACCATAGCGAAAAATTTCTCCCACGCTTGTTGGTGATGCTTGTTCCAGTGTTTTTTGTTTCTTTTTTTCACCGCTTTAATAAAATATTCCCCCATTGTTTTCAAATACCTTTCCTCAATTTCATTATCCTTATGTAGGGCGCCTTCGTTCAAAAGTATTCGAATTTGCGCTTCTTGGTCCTTGATGCGAAAAATTGCTTTATCAAGGATGCTCGTTACTTTCAGCCCGTGGTCACGCAAGACCTCGCTTCCTTTTAAATCGCCAATACGCATGCTTTTAAATTTGTTAAACATATCTTTCGTTTCGGGGTGTGTGGTTAAAAGTCCCATCATCGTCTCCGCCCCAATGTCTTCCATTATTTTTGTCTCGGATAAGCCCCGCCATGAGCGGATAATAATCGATTTGTCCTGTTCTGTTAACACATGGTCCGATTCTTTGTCTGGCTTCTTCTTCTCGCACGAACAACACAACATTCTAGGCCTGTGTAGTCTCGCTGATTGGGTTATAGTTTCCTGCTGTTCTGATGACAACAGCAACTTCCGTTATCATATTCCCGGTGAGTTTGTAAAGTGAATAGCCTAAAATGAAAAGAATGAAAGTATTGCAATTTTTTTTTAAAGTAAAAAAGTCATAAGAAATTATAATTTTCAACGGTTATGTTCTATGTTTTTATTTAGCCGTTAAAAAATCCATTGAATTCCGCACCCTTAGAATAACCACTGTGCCAGTATGCATACCTCAAAAACTAAATTACAATTTTAACCGCTGTCTATAAATGGTGCCACACTCCATGGGAAGGGAGGGTCGGAATTTTTAGTGACGTGTGACCAGTAGTGGGGAGATGGCAGAATGAGAAGAAGGCTTAAATGCTACATCATTGAGCGAATCTAGTTTTTGTGATGGAAGGAAGGGGGGGGGGTAAAAATCGTCAAAATAGCGTGATTTCATTTAAATCCTTGGTTTTTTTTTTTTGTTCTGTCATAACCGCACTTGCAATGCCAATACACTAGCTCGATAGACAATGAGAGGCTAATCTGAATCATAAAATGTGTACCCCTTCCTCATTGTATTTCAAGCCGCTATTGAAATTTTAGACTGCTTGTAAAAATGGCAGTAGAGTTCGACGTGGTGATTTAATGACAGTGTTAAGGAGAAGGTTAGTTTCGATTTTAATATTCTGGCAAGCGAAAGGATGGGCGCGATAGTAAGCTCAAGAAAGAGTCAGTGGTTTCAGAGGCGTAGCGACCCTACCCGGCGCTCGGGGATAAACTTTCGATTTGCACCCCCCCCCCCTCGAACTTTTGATTTGCACCCCCCCCCCCCTCAAACTTTCAATATGTTTTTTCAAGCCATTTTGGCGCCCCCCCCCCCTAAGGTCGGCGCCCGTGGACATATGTCCCCCCGCCCCTCCCCCCCCCCCTCGCTACGCCTCTGAGTGGTGTAGCTAGGATTATTGGGCCCCTATGCAAAAAGTGTTAGTGAGCCCCTCAGAGGCGTAGCGACCCTTCCCGGCGACCGGGGACAAACTTCGATTTGCACCCCCCTCAGACTTTCGATTTGCACCCCCCCCCCCACTCAAACTTTCGAAAAAGGGCCCCTATTTGCCTTGGGCCCCTATGCCTTGCTTACGCTAGCTTTACGGTAGCTACGCCACTGGAAAGAGTGTGTTAGAAACAGTATAAAAAATATGTATATTAGAAACCACAAGTACATTGTGTTAAAAGCAGTAGGCTACAAGTGGATTATAGAGCTAGATCTAGTCGTGAATGGTATGGTTAGTGCAGAGGCGTAGCGAGAGCGGGAGGGGGGTGCGGACCGCATCGGTTGACACCATTTAGGGGGGTGACACCAAGGCAAAAAATTGCAAAATGCACAGAAGAAAAATGCTTTTTGCCACTTCCATTAATGATTAATTAAAGTTAAATAGGCTTTTAAGTGTACAAATCGACAATTATTACAAAAGGGTGGGGGTGACACCATGGCGTAAACGTGCTAACTATAGAGAAAACAATGCTACATCCAACTGCACTATTAACTGACTATAGATAAACACCGTAACTATTAAGTCTGCAGTGATCAAAACTTATACACCGGGTGACACCCGACCTAGCGACGCCATTGGGATAGTGATAGAGCACCTATAAGCAAGCATATTAACACACAACAAACGCGTTATGATTATTTTAATTATACGAATCGCATAATTTCAGAGAAAATCTGTAGCAATTTTAAAATAAAAAGTTGAAATTATGTATTGTATACAGAAATAACTATTAGCAAATATTGTATCAACATATTCATCCAACGATTCTAAATATTTCGCAATAATAAGAAAACGAAAAGCAGTGTTAGATACAATTATTGCTCTCTGCCAATATAACAAAATCATAAGCCACCCTCAACCGCAGAGTTTCTTCCAGGCCTATCTTCGGGGGGGGGGGGGGCGAAGCCCCCCCCCCCGAAAATTTTTTACCGCCCCCCCCCCCCCCCCCGAACGAAATGAAATTTATATAATTTATATAGAAAATATATACTTTTAACAGTGTCCGCCCCCCCGAAGAAAGTCTACCGCCCCCCCCCCCGAAAATTTTAAGTGCCCCCCGGAGAAAAAAGTCTGGAAGAAACACTGCTCAACCGCCTTCGTGTTCTATAATGTATTTACCATTGCTAATTAGTTCTGTGTTTGGTTTTGAATTTATCAGTGTTAAATGTCCGCAAGGTAACATCATAGTATATAAAGGAGGCTGTCAAAATGGGTTTGGCCTTTGTTTGCTAGTACCACCTAATTAGCCATGGTCCTTGCTTTAAACCAGGGGTCTCCAAACTACGGCCCGCGGGCCGGATGCGGCCCGCGAAGTCCTCTCATCCGGCCCGCGGATATCTTTTTGTCTAAGGAAAAATCGTAGGTTGGTGATGGCTGAGGAACTTTGCCCAGAAAAATTAAAGACATGCCTGAAAGAAACTGGCCCCCGAACTGAAATTTGATAGTTAATGCGGCCCTCGGACTGAAAAGTTTGGAGACCCCTGCTTTAAACTCAGGCGTAGTCCTAATCCATGATTTTCGCTCTCTTCCGGTTCGTAATCTCGATGTTGACACTACTAGCGGCGCTAATGTTTTTGTGATTATAATTATAATGATAACAACAAAAAAATATAACCAGTAGTAAAACAATATCAACGAAGACGTCCACTCGGTTAATCCGTAAGAAGAGTTATCTAACTTTAATGTTACTGGGTTTTAGGTAGGGTATTAATTAGCATACATAATGGCAGTATCGAGTTCTTTGGTGTTTTATTTTGTATTGGTATCGCTGTTAGCACCATTATTAGAACTAGTGTCATATTCAGTTGTCGGTTCTTCCAGTTTTAAAACAACAAATAACGTGGTTAAACAACAAGTAGGTCTGCCAATGACGTTATTTGCTTTTAAACAAGATTACCTTAGTATTTCTAATGTCATACCTTAAGCCGACCCTACTTGTTAAATCACTATGGAAGTCCGATTTTGTATTTTTCATTCCCCCACTATGTGGGCTTTATATTTTTAAAAATGTTCTTTTCAGTTCTTGTTGCAGCATTAAGTTGTAGATCTACCAAATTCAGACAAATTTAATAGTAAACATAAACTTTAAAATGCTAGGTAATTGTTCAAACTGGTGCGACAATGTTTCAAATTTAAATATGACAGTGCGCAAAACATGCATATTATGTTATTGGAAACTTAGAGACAAATGGACAAGCTAATAATAGAAATTATGCAATAGGTGGTACCAAAGTAGAATAGTTTGACCTTGATAGACATTGTTGTCAACACCGGATGTACATCTGGGTGTGACTGGGTGTGTATTAAATAGAAGATGCGTGAGAAACAAGGAAGAACTTTGTGAGGGAAAGGATTGCAAGGTAGAGACGCCGATGAACGATTGATAGGCTGAAATGAAGATTAAACGTTTGTGGTCAGAAAGACCGAGAGATAGAGAATGGATTGAATGCAGAGACAACCCAGTCAGCACACATATATTGGCCCAATATTGGCTAAACATTGGTTACCAATATTGGCTACATCTTGGTGCAACATTGGCTTAACCTTGGCCAAACATTGGTAGTGAAACTCGGCATGATGTTGGCGCAATGTTGGCACAATATTGGCTATATCCCGGCTACATATTGGCCCAACATTGGCTAGATCTTGGCCAAATATTGGCTAT